ATCTGTCTTCTCTTTGGTATTCTGTCCTGTGAACTGTAGCTGCCTTAGTCTATTGGACTCTAGGGTTTGTCTCCTTAATTCAGGGAGTCTGCTAGGCTCTGCCTCACTTTTCCCTTCCTTTGCCACAGTTTGGAATCTTTCTCAAGGTAGTAAGCTGAAGCAATTGTAAGACTCACCTATTTTGTTTCCTGTCTCTCAGAGATTACTGTCCTTTGTTGCCTAGTATCATGTGTCTTGAAAATAGTTTATATATTTTGTCTATTTCTTTCTTTTTTCTTTTTAGATACTGCAAGGTGGGATGGTAAATCTGGATCCTATTACTTCATCATGGCTAGAAGGGGAAGTCTAGTCATTGCTTTTTCATCTTTGAAATTTAATCTTTTCTTTCTTTTTTATTTGTGTTTTTTGATTTTTGTTTTTGTTTTTTGACAGGGTCTTGCTCTGTCACCGGGGTTAGGGGGTAGACTGCAGTGGCATCATCATAGCTCACTGCAACCTCAAACTCCTGGGCTTGAGCCATCCTCCTGCCTCAGCCTCCCGAGTAACTGGGACTACAGGTGTGGGCCACTACATCCAGCTAATTTTTTCTATTTTTTGTAGAGATGGGGTCTCGTTCTTGCTCGGGCTGGTCTTGAACTCCTGGAATCAAGCAATCCTCCCCCGTTGGCCTCCCAAAGTGCTAGGATTACTGGTATGAGCCACCGTGCTCAGCCTCAATTTGTTTTTGTTTTTTTTTGGCAACCAGAATTGACTTTTAATTTGAGCCTCAATTTTTTGTTTTGAAAAATTTCAAGCCTTTGAAAAGCTGTAAGAGTTACTTAGTGAACATCTGTGTACATTTTATCTAGATTCCCCAATGGTTAACATTTTGCTACATTTGTGTGCTTGCACATGCACACTCACTCTGTCTCATACTCACACACACACATTAACTAAACCTTTTGAGAGTAAATTGCAGATATGATACTTAATCATGAAATAAGTCTTAAGAACAAAGTGATTTTCCTATATAACAACAATATAATGATCAAATTAGGAAATTTAACATTGATAGAATATTATCTAATATACAGTCTTTGATCATCTATTGCTGTGTATCAAGTGACCCCAAAACTGAGACGATCAAAACAATAACTTATTATTCTTATATCTCATAATTCTGTGAGTCAGAGGAATTCAGACATGGGCATAGTGGGGAAGGCTTATCTCTGCTCTATGATGTCTGCAACCTCAGCTGGGGTACCTCTAAGTGGCAGGGGGCTAGACTAGTTGGGAGGTGGCTGGGCATCTTTTTTTCTTTTTCTACATGGCTAGCTTGGGCTTTCCACAGCACGGAAGCCTCGGGGTAGTGGGGCTTTAACATGGTGGCTCACGGGTCCAAGCATAAGTGATTCTAGAGATCACCAATAATACAAACTGACATCACATATAAGGTGATGCTCTGAGGACATAACATCACCTTTATCATATTCCTGGCAGAAATGAACAACTAGTATTTAATCATGAGAAATAATCTGACTAGTCCAAATTAAGGAATGTTCTATGAAACACCTGGCCTGTACACTTTAAAAATGCCAGTGTCATTAAAGACAAGGAAAAATGACAAGCTGTTTCAGATTACAGGAGACTGTATTAGTGTGCTAGTGCTGTCATAATAAAATACCATGGATTGGGCTGCTTCAACAACAGATATTTCTTTTCTGATGATTCTGGAGGCTGGAAGTCCAAGTTGAAGATATCAACAGGATTTTTTTTTTTTTTTCCGAGGCCTCTTTCCTTGGCTTACAGGCAGCCACCTTCTTGCTGATGTCCTAACATGGTCATACTCTGCGTTGTCTGTGTCCTAATCTCCTCTTCTTATAAGGACACCAGTCATGTTGAATTCATACCCACATTTGTGACCAATTTTAACTGAGTTGTCTCCGTAATATTTAAAGATCCTATCTTCAAATACAGTCATATTCTGAGGTGCTAGGTGCTGGGGCTTCAACATATGAATTTAGGGGGAACACAATGGAGCCCATAACAGAGACTAAAAAGATTCCTTTATGTGTGGTCCTGGATTGGAAAAAGAGTCATTATAAAAGTATATTATTGAGAAAATTGAAATTGAATATGTATAGTGTGATAGATTAAAAATAGCTTTAGCCGGGCGCAGTGGCTCACACCTGTAATCCTAGCACTCTGGGAAGCCGAGGTCAGAGGATCACCCAAGGTCAGGAGTTTGAAACCAGCCTGAGCAAGAGTGAGACTCCCTCTCTACTAAAAGTAGAAAGAAATTAATTGGCCAACTAAAAATGTATAGAAAAAATTAGCTGGGCATGGTGGTGCATGTCTGTAGTCCCAGCTACTTGGGAGGCTGAGGCAGAAGGATTGCTTGAGCCCAGGAGTTTGAGGTTGCTGTGAAGCTAGGCCTGACGCCATGCCATCCTGCCCAGGTAACAGAGTGAGATTCTGTCTCAAAAAAAAAAAAAAGAAAAGAAACAAGAGAGAAAGAAAGAAAGAAAGAAAGAAAGAAAGAAAGAAAGAAAGAAAGAAAGAAAGAAAGAAAGAAAGAAAGAAAGAAAGAGAAAAAGAAAGCCTTGAGGAGGGCTCAAGATGGCTGACTGGAAGCATTTCATGCCTGCCTCCTCCGCTTTGAAGAATCAGAGTAGTATACAGACAGTCATGCTTCAATTGCATTATCCAAGAGAGAATACTGGAATTCAACAGAGAAGTGACAGGAGACACCAAAAGCAGGGACTGAGAAGTAGGGGAGGCAAGCCTTTCTGGCCAGTATCAGCTGGGAGCCAGGAGTGACTGATTTCCCAATGCAGGGAAGGGGTGAGTGAGAGCCCTCCAGTGGATCACCAGGGAACTGTGCAACCCTGGCCATGGGAGAAGCCCTCTCCCTCCTACCCTCTGAAACTAACATAGGCAGGTGCCAGGAGTCAGGAGGGTCCCACACCCTTTCTGAGTCCTAAGTGGCTACAGCAAATTGCTGCCTTACTCCTGTGTTTTGAATAGCTTCCCCTGAAGGTCCCCATAATCAAACACCAAAATAGTCAATAATCAAAATTAGCACCAACCTTGAATACACAAAGAAAAGCTAGTTTCCACTGGGGAAAGACTCTAGTGGGGTTCCTGGAGGCTCACTGTTTGTGGTAGTGGGGTGCCAGTGTTGGAATTTGAAACTAATTATAAATTAGGGAAAATCTTGGATTTTGTGACCAACCAGATGTCCTAAGGGATTAGACTGGTAGAAGCCACCCTCAGCAAGGTGGATGATAACATACGTAAAGTGCTAGGATTACAGGTGTGAGCCACTGTGCCAGGCCTGATTTGTTTGATTTTGATTAGTTCGGTTTGTGGGTGCTCCTGTTATGGAATATACTTTAGTCTCTTGGTATTATCCTCCTCATAATCATCATAAAAGTGTTCTTGATGTGTTGTAGCCTCTCAACAGTCTTAAATGTTTGTGTGTAGCCATCTATCGTGCATTAAATGATCTCACTTTAACTTGAACAGCAAGAACATAAAGCATCATCCAACTGATCTGATGTCAGTGACCTGTGAACTCCATACTGAGACCTAACAAGTTCATTATGATGGTGACAGAGAGTGGCATCGATGTCCAAGGTTTTGGTCAATCTCTCAAAACTGAGAGGCTGACCAAAAAGGAGGAATTGTTAAGTTAAATTTGATCTGAGGCTATCTTTGCACTTTGCACATTGAGTCCCCATCTAACAAACTACAACCTGATTTAGTACACAACCAAACTGAAATCTGCATCTATTTTTGTAACAGATAGCCAGGTCTCAACTAATCACAAGCAGCCAAGCTTCAGCCCACCACAGGCTGCAAACTTATCAGACCTTGTCCAAGTAAGGCAAATGCCTAGCTAGAAACACTCAGGGTATTCCCGTACCTTACTGTCCTATAAATACTGCCCACCTTGCAGAGTGGAGCTCTCTGGACCTCTTCTGTTTCTGAGTGTTGCCTGATTCATGAATCATTCTTTGCTCAAATAAACTCTGTTAAATTTAATTTGTCAAAAATTTTTCTTTTAACATGTCCTCGGGGGTCTAAATCTGTTACTCTTATGTGGTCACTCTTATTTTGTCACTCTTATGTGGTCTCCTGTGCATGGCGATTTATAAAAAATTTTGAGCTTGTACTTGCTTGAATTCTAAGAGACTAGGTTGCATCCACCAGAGGGCGTTTTGATTGCTTCTGTTCAGAGCACAGAAGGCTTGGAATCTCTTAAGTGCTTTTCAGTGGTTTGGGCTTGATGTGGAGGCTCAGGCTCTGAACTCCTTGTTTCTGTCCCTGATCACAGTGCCACCATAGACATGTGGTCTCAGTACAGCCCCAGATCTCTGCTTAGAGCTTAGTGACCCCAGCACTGTTTCTTCCCATGGTTGGCCCCTTTTAGGGTAGAGTGGATAGGGTGGTTCTTGGAGAATCTACTGTATTGCTGTGAGCACAGGGAGAGGCTGCCCTGGAGAATCTAGCCTGCTGTCTTGTCTGTCTAAACAGAGCCTACCATGATTTTTACTCAAATCTTTAGCATAAATGTGATTGTCTTGGCTTTCTGTAATAATATCTTTGAAGAAAAAAGAATTGTTCACAATTGACTCATTTAATATTCTCCACAGTCCTGTGAAATGCGAAAAGCCAGGCACATTAAGCAGTTCAGAGTGCTGACACCTCACAGGGTGATGTAAGGCAAACTTATTCACCTCTCAAGACTCAGTTTCCCACTATGTAAAATGGGCAGGTTCTTATCTCCTTCCCAGAGCTTTGTATTTAAGAGGATGGAATTTGGGGAGCACTCAGCACCTAGCCCACTGCTATTGGCACAAGGCTGTACTATCACCCAAGGCCGAGATGTCCAACTCCCGGATGCCCTCCCCGCCCTCCCAGCGCCGAGGCGGGGTCTACCGGGCGGGCGGAGAGCCGCGCGCGCCAGCTGCCCGGCCCGAGGCGGGCGGGAGGCGGAGCCGGCGCTCAGGGGCCGCCTCCCGGGCGGCGGGGCGGTCCCCGGGGCCGCTTGCTCAGCCTCCCCTTTACCCAGGCAGCGCTCGCTGGCGAGGCCGCGGCTGGGGTGAGTACGCGCGGCCTCGGATCCGCCGCCCGCGACGCGCAGTTCCGGGACGCGGCGCCTGCGCGGGCCCCGGACTGGGGTCGCGCGGCCGGGCGTCGTGCGGCCGCCCTGCCCCGGCCGGCGGCGGGCCCGGCGGGTCCTGCGGAGGCCGAGCTGATGGGAGGCTGCGGCTCAGGTGCGGGCGCGGGGGAGCCGGGCGAGATGCTGCCAGCCAGGGAGGGACCCGGGGCTCATCCCCGGGGGCCCAGCGTCGCGATTCTGGGTCACCCCAGCACCCCTGTCCCCGCGGGGTGCATCCACCTGGAAGCCGCCTTTCTCCAGCTTTTCAAGTAGAAACGCGATCAGCCGATCCCAGCCCGGGCCGACGAGCTCCGACCCGTCTCGGGCGGGTTAGTCACCCGTGTTTTGCAGGACTTCGGAGCCGGGCCCTCAGTACGTCCAGTGTCCCTGCATCGGTGACTCTTGGTGTTCCGGCTTCCATTAGACAAGGGCCGTTAACTCTTGGTTTGGAAAGAGAAAAATAGAAATAGTCTAGGGGGCTCTGGACCGAGGAGAGGCCTTTGGGCCGGAGCCTCGGGAGAGCAGGTACCGTCGGAGGGTGGGCGTGCGCCCGGTGGCAGCGTGTTCCGGGTGGAGGCGGCGAGGGCACAGCGGGACCTCCCCACCCGTTCCGGGATGAAAAGGAGGAGGAAGGAGATGGTAATTTGAGGGTCGAGGAGAGGTTGAAACCAAGTTTTAAAGACAGGAAAGAAAACATATCGAGGATGCAAGAAGGTCGAGGAATCTTAGATCGGGAGGAATAGGATTCAGGGTCCAGGTTGAGAAATTGGGGTTCAAAGGAGGCCCTGGAGGGCTAGCCCCGTACCTGGATGGGGAGTGCTGGGATGTCTCTGGGGGTGTGGGGGGTGGGAGATGATGTTCGATTGAATGTAGATTAAGTTTTGAGAATTTTATCTTCTAGAGCAGATTTGGCTTCTGTGAAGACTGTAAACCTCATAAAATGGCAAAAAAAAAATGTTGTGTACTTGTCAGTGCATTTTGGAGAGAGAAGGTCCATAGCTTTGATCAGATTAAAAACATCTGTTAAAGGGAATTACTGAATCGTGCTGAACTATTTGGCTACATAATCTGAGGGAGGGTGGGTAGAGAGGGCAGTAAACCCAGCTGCTATTATATTTTATATGCCATTTAATAGAATAAGCATTTGGTATTTACTTTAGGCTGAGCTAATAGTAATGTATGCTTTTTCCAGATATGCATGCCAATGATTTGAGCATCTCACTGAGGCTCTTTGATTCACAGTGGGAACATCCAAAGCAAGTCAGTGGTGGTTTTCTATTCTTTTAAAAAAGCCATCAGTGAACAATGGTTTCTCAAACCTGGCTGCATTTCTCAGAATTGCCTGGATTCTTGTTAAAAATACAGATTTCTTCACCTCACCTCAGGTGTTTGAAATAAAAATCTCTGGGAGTGTAGCCTAGGAACAGGGATTTCAAATAGAGCCCACAGAATTCTCTGGTATTGAAGATCAGCGTCTGAGATTTTAATTTAATTAATTTATTTATTTAAACTCTAATTCTGCGACAGATTAGATATTTTTCTGTAATATACAGTAGTCCCCCTTGTCTTCTGGGGGTGTGTATGTTGCAAGACCCCCAGTGAATGCCTGAAACTGTGGGGGGGGGTAGTAGTGAACTCTATACACACTATATTTTTTCATATATATATACCTGCCTATGATTTATAAATTAGGCACAGTAAGAGGTTATAAATTAGGCACAGTATCAGGTTTTTAACTGATAATAAAATAGAATAATTATAACAATATATTGCAATAAAAGTTATGTGAATGAGGTCTCGCTCTCAAAATATCTTACTGTACTGTACTGTACTGCAGGTAACTGAAACCGTGGAAAGTGAAACCACAGATAAGGTGGGGACTACTTTAAGGGACAACTATGTAGGCATTTTATCAGAAAACGACAATATTGTTTCTGATCATAAAAACCCCATTCTAGAAGAATTAGAAGATACATAAGAATTAACACTTTTCCCCAATCCTATAATTTAGAGATGACCACCAGTGACTCTTTCAGGCATTTTATACATAAAAGACATGTGCACACACACATTTGTTATATAATTGGGATTGTATTTGATATGTGTTTTTATATATGTATATTTTTTACTTAACTATCATGAGCACTTTTTCATGTAGTTAAGTTCTTTTAAACACTATTTTAATAAAAGTGTATGTTCCATCATATGGATGTACTGTAATTAAATCAGATCCTTATTGTTAACACTTGGATTCTTCTCAATATTTGGTTACTTTAGCAGTGTTGGTTTGAATATCATGGTCTGCTTCTCTGATTATTTCCTTAGAATAAATTTCTAAATGGTGGAATCAAAAGCTATTCAAATGCATTTTTAAAATCTCATTTTCACCCAGTTTCTTACTGCACTCCTCACCAGAAGGAAAATTAACATTTCTGAAGGATCTGTTACATTCCAGGTCCATACTCTTATTTCAGTGGTTCTCAAACTTTAATGTGTATAAGAGTTACCTGGGGAGCTTATTAAAATTTCATTTTTCTGAGTCCCAGACTCAGCTGTTCTGACCTAGGGTCTTTGTGGGGGTGGGGCTGAGGACGCAAATCTGCAGTTTTAACACATTCCCTTATGTATTTTTTTTTTTTTTTGAGACAGAGTCTCACTTTGTTGCCTAGGCTAGAGTGAGTGCCGTGGCGTCAGCCTCGCTCACAGCAACCTCAAACTCCTGGGCTCAAGCGATCCTCCTGCCTCAGCCTCCCGAGTAGCTGGGACTACAGGCATGCGCCACCATGCCCGGCTAATTTTTTTTCTATATATATTAGTTGGCCAATTAATTTCTTTCTATTTATAGTAGAGACAGGGTCTCGCTCTTGCTCAGGCTGGTTTCGAACTCCTGACCTTGAGCAATCCGCCTGCCTCTGCCTCCCAGAGTGCTAGGATTACAGACGTGAGCCACTCGCCCGGCCTCCCCTTATGTATTTGATAAAGGCCCACTTAGAAGTACACCTTGAGAAATGCTTTTTAAATAAATGGGCCAACCGATTCAGAAAATTTAGGGCAGTTGTCTATAGCCATTTATGCATGTGATAACAAGAATTTGAACTCAGTTCTTTGTGACTTCAGAGCCCTGAAGTTTTTTCCATTATCTCAGAGCTTCTCAAACCTCACTGAAGTGCCCCTAATAACTGCAGAAAGTACACTCCTACGGACCCCCTGTAGGCTTCTCAGGGACAGCTGAAAATGGCATGTAAGTGCACAATGAGCTTATATTAAAACCTCCCATCAGAAATCCTTGTGAGGCCGGGCGCGGTGGCTCACGCCTGTAATCCTAGCTCTTGGGAGGCCGAGGCGGGTGGATTGCTCAAGGTCAGGAGTTCAAAACCAGCCTGAGCAAGAGCGAGACCCCGTCTCTACTATAAACAGAAAGAAATTAATTGGCCAACTGATATATATATATAAAAAATTAGCCGGGCATAGTGGCACATGCCTGTAGTCCCAGCTACTCGGGAGGCTGAGGCAGAAGGATCACTCGAGCCCAGGAGTTTGAGGTTGCTGTGAGCTAGGCTGACGCCACGGCACTCACTCTAGCCTGGACAACAAAGTGAGACTCTGTCTCAAAAAAAAAAAAAAAAAAGAAATCCTTGTGAATTCTGTATTATGCTGTATAACATATACTCTATCAAACAATTTCAGTTGTTTGGGTTTGGCAAGACCACCTGGCTTCCAGTGTGGGTTTCCACAGCTTCCAGAGACAGGTCCACTGTGTCCCAGTGTGCCGTGTGGCTCACCCAGTGGTACTTAGTGGATTCGTGGAGGAAGAGGCCGGCCAAGCAGCAGCTCCTTCCAAGTCAAGAATAAGAAGTATCACTTTTGAAAACTCAGTGGCAGAGAAGCAGAATGTGGTGGGCATGATCAAGAGACAGTGCCATTTATTAGAGATGGGCCTCCTTCCCTTGGAAGAGTGTTGGTATTAGTAAACTGAGGGAGCTAGTGTTGGTGCGAGCCTTTTCAATTAAAAAAAAATCTTCCTAAGATGAAATTTTATACCCATTTCATTTTTTTTTCTTCTCTATTAATCTTCCTCCCTTCTCTTTTTTTCATGTCTCATCCCTTTTAACAGTAGCCTGGAATTATGGTATATCCTTATGTATTTCAACTAGTATATCCTAGAAAGTCATTCATTATTTACCAGATTGAGCACCTGCTGTGTGTCAGGTTGGTTTGAGACACTAGGAATACAAAAACAGTGATTCTCCTTGAGGATGAAGTTAATTTACTGCCATAAATTTACTCAGTCCTTGAGTTTAAATGACTTCTACTTGCGAATGGCTGTCATCATTCCTATCCCATTCATGCCCCTACCCAGGGAGCCATTGCCCTTTTAGGATCTGGGCAGTGTTCATTCAGAAGCCTCCTAAAGGAGCTGTAATTGGGAGAAAGGATATCAAGGCCTAAGGAAGGTAGGGCAACGTCTGTACAAACAGCTCCCAGGAACTCTGCAGGAGTGAAAAGAGTGGCAAAATACCAGTGTTTCCGCTGGTGCTGCCCAGGGATTCTCAAGGCAGCAGGAGCCACATCCTGCCTCCTCAGATACCCTGTGTCTACAAAATTCCCAGATGGATTCAGAGATGTTGGAATGCTGATTTTGGTGCTCACAGCTGCAGAATGAAGACCACACCCTTTCTCCCAGTGCATAAAATCTTAGTATACATTTGTGGAGTGATACCTGGTATCTTCCCAACCCCCTCGGTGGAGTAAAAATGTGTGGGGTTAGAGATTCTCCAAGAATAATACTTAGCATTCATGTTGCTTTACCTTTTGTTATAGTTTGTCTTCCTTGCTAGATTTTTTTTTAGTATTACTATTATGGAAAATTTCAAGCATACACGAAAGTAGAGAAGAAGGAAATGGACTCTCAGGTACCTATCACTTCTCTTCAATACATCTCAGTATTTTACCAATCTTGTTTCATCTTTTCCTCTACTTTGGGGTGGGGGTATTGGCATATCTGAAAACAAATTGCAGACATCAAGATCTAGGAAAATTTTGAAATAAACTCTGAGTGCAAGGACTGGTCTTTAATTCCCTGTCTCCCCTTGTCCCTAGTACTCTGTTTGAAAATAGCAGGTGCTCAGAGAACACTGGTTGAATTGAGGGGAAGAAAACCAAATATGAAAACATGAGCATTTCAAACTAACTCTAGGGTAGACTTCTAGAAAGGAAAAGGGTGGTGAGTCTTGCCCTAAATTGCTTTAATTTTGCTTGAATTTGTTCTTGCAGTCATAATTCCTCTGTCATATCAAAACAGCCTGGATTGGAAGAAAATGTTAATAACTCTGGGACTGCTTTGAGAGTTCAGGGTTTCTTAATTACTTAAATGTGAGCAATAGGTCCAGTCTGATGGCATTTTCCTAAACACCAATCAGGAGATGCTTGCCCTAAAAATAACTTTCTTTGAAAATGTCATTATGTTTTTCTAATTATAGAAGTAATATATACATATTGAAAGAAAAATAGAAATTACAGAGAAATAGAAAATAAAAATTATCTGTATCTCAACATGTAATTCCAGAGATAACATTATCTTGTCAAATATTCTAATAACATTTGAACATAAATTACATTGGTACTCAGCCAATATTTGTGTTCCTGGGAATGTACCAGGTATACCAATGGACTTGGGTACTTCATCTCATGAAATTTTCACAGCAACATTTTGAGATAAGTGCTTTTTACTATTTTATAGCTGGTGAAACACACAAAGAGGGGTTGCCTCCAGTCACTTAGCTGGTCTCTCTTGAAAGACAGATGGACAGTGTTAGAAACCTTCACACCTTGGATGCTTACAGGAACCAAGGAAACCTTCCCCTTGAACTTCCCTGATGCTGGCTCTCTGTACAGTTTCAGGGAGGGTGCTTGGGTTTAGAAAAAGGGGTAAATGATGATTTTTAACTGGTTCAGATGTAGTCTCAAGAAGTGGAATTAGCAATGAAGGCCTAATTATTAAGTAATCATTAGTAATGGCTCCTTGTAGAATAATTGTCCTTATCTTTAAACAAATTCCATAGGCTCTAGTTGATTACTATTAGTTTATGATTATTCACAGCAGAGTTGTTTACTTCTTAGGTAGGTTTTATTTTAAATTACAGTCATCCCATGGTATATGGGGTTGGGGGGGTGGGGACTGGCTGCATATATGCCCCAATTGGTGTATACTCAAGTCCCACAGTTGGCCCTGTGGACCCTGCGAATAGGAAAAGACAGCTCTCCGCATATGTGGGAGATTGAGAATACTGTACTTTCCACCCATGTTTGGTTGAAAGTTCGAACCTGTGTGGTTCAAGGATCAACGATATCTTTTAGAGCAGTTTTAGGTTTACGGCAAAATTGAGCAGAAGCCACAGTGATTTCCTGTATACCCTCTGCCTTGGGTAGGGTTTTAAATCTCTGCAGGCCACACTTCCCCTCTGTAGAACGAGGGAGCTGGATATGTGTTCTTTAAGGTCCTCTTAACACTGCAGTGATTTTATGATCATTCGTTCTTTCCACTCAGTCCGTGATTCTCTCTTTAAGGGGACTATCCCTCCATAAATAGCTCTTACAAAAGTAATGTTCCCAGTCTAAATTTTCCAAAGTTAATATCTTTATAAAAAACAGTTGCTGATCCCAGCATTTAAGCCCCCTGCAGTTAATCCACAGGAGGTTGTCTAATTGTCCCTGGGAACCTGATGACAGACCTACTGTCACCTGAAGGGAAGCAAACAGACCTCCAGAAGGCATTTGAACAGACAGCCCCGAGGAAAGGCAAGGGGGATGTGGGAAAGAGGCACAAGGCCACCCAATGGAATGTGCATATTTCAAGGGTTCGTCCTGGGCCTGTTCAGGCACCAAGGAGAGAAAAGAGAAAATGTCCACGTGACAGACACGCCAGAACATGGATTTTGGAGCTGACCCCCTGGGCTCAGACCCAGCCTTCCCACTTGCTATATGGTTATGTGGTCTTGGCAAGTTACTTAACCTCTCTAGACCTTTTGTTTTCTCATCAGTTGGATGAGAATGAAGTTAATACAAGTGATTCAACCTCGTGCATGGCACAGAGTACACACACAGATAAATCACTCTTATCAGCTGTTATTACTGCCTTCAGCATCGACTTTCTGTTACACCGGCACAGGACCCTAAACACAGGCCACACTGTTTATTTGCTTCCTGCATCAAAGATTCTCTTTTGTGATTTGACCTGAGAACCAAACTCCATTTCCATTTGTAGCATTGTGTTTAGAGAGAAATGTTTTCTAGGCTTCCTTCAAACTAACCCAGAGCTAAGTTTGTGGAATACTAGCCTTTAGTAAGTATGAAACTATCTTGAGAGTTGCCAGGATTGTTTTTGCTGTTGTTTTTTAGGGTTACCTGCCACCTCCCAGTTCTCTTTTAAAGCAAAACAAAAACAACTTTACTTTGTTTTCATTATAAAAGGACTATATTATACAACTATATATGTAAAATATACATACGTATGAGACTATGTAATATATAACATAAATATAAAAATAAACCATAATATGAAACCATATTAAAATTCTAAAAAGAAAAGAGGAAAAAAAAACCCCAGCTAATCCCATATGCTTAATATAATTATCGTTTGCTTTTGTGTATATTTCTTTCTGGACTTTTATTCTTTTTTTTTTTTTTTTTTTTTTTTTTTGCCGGCACCTCGATCTTGAATATTCTGTATTTTTAGTTGTAATCATAGCACACATACATAGTTTACTTTCTGGTTTTCTTTTTGTCACTTAAGATATAATCATAAATGTTCCTATGTTATTATTTAGCATAGAAAATATTTTGGTCTCCATTCTACCCATGTAATGGAGGACGTATATGTTTATGGAGATTATCTGTGCCCTGGCTTTAGCGTTTTCTGTGTTTGTCTTAGAACATGTTTAAAATTGGGGGAGAGACTGGTTCTGACCACGCAAAGAGGATGGTAAGGCGCGTTGCTGGCTGGGTCCCAGGGGGCCTGACCACGTAGCATTCACCACCTCAGTGCATTTACCATGGTCTGGCGTGGGCCTCAGCTAGGTGGATTTTTGTCAATAACTCAGAGCATAGCTACCTCTGGGAAGTAAATTCATATTATCGCATCTTATGCTACTGAAGTTAAATCAGAATGCCACTTTATCAACTGACAGTGAGAAATGCAGTACAAAAAGTGATGGTTTAGGCAGCACCAGTGTGTCTGCCCGTTGGCCATCCCTAAGCTAGACGCATTTAATGTAAAGGAATATAGCAGTAACAACAGTGGCGGTTACCATTTAGTGGGTACTTACCGTGGGGCACGAGGTGGGCTAATATATATATATGCAAATGCCTTAGGTCATTCAGTTCCACAGTATCCTCTCTAGTTAGGTACTATTTTTATTCCCATTTTACAGATAAGGAAATGGAGGCTTGGGAAATGATTGGTCAGAGGTTACATGGCTTTTATGCTGTGGAGCTATAGTTTGTGTCTAAATTCAAACCCCTGATCTTAAACACAATGCTGTAGTTCTACCTGTTATTCTTATAGATTGTTGACCCTCCTGTGTTGGGATTCTCTTGTGTTTCTTGCTCTCACCCCCACCACCCCACTGTTGGGCTGTGCCCTGTGCCAGTGCCTCACTGAGAACATAACATTCATTCCCTGCTGTTGAGGACCATGTTTTTCTAGCTCTCACAGAGGAGAAGAACTTTTGTCTTTTTCCTTATTTTTTCTTTGGGTCGAAATATGCTTCTGTAACAGGTGTGACATTTTGTTAACTCTCTTCTAAGGCTGTTTCAGGAAGGGACAATTGAAGAAGAGAACTATTAGGGCTGTGTCTTAGGCTGTGCACCCTCCCTTGTCTCTTTGGCCTTTTCATTCTGTGCAGCATCCAGAAATGGCTTCCGTTCTTGGATGACAGACAGCCTGGGCACTAACCCAGGAGAGCTTCTGTGACAGATAGCTGGAAACTTCAACCTCTAAAACCTTTGGTTTTCTGATCTCTAAACCCTAAGTGGGAGAACTACCATTAATGTTAGTCAAGGTCTATTGGGGATAGGTTTGCAATTGGTGCTGAAATAAATCATTTCAGGATAGGATTTCCATTTGAAACATGTCTTTTTGTGATTGCCTTTTAGATAGTTGGAGGAGATCTACTGAGCAAAAGCAGACATTGTATCTTCAGTTTTCATCAAGTTTGCAGTCAGATTGGAAAAGTTTAACTTGAAGCTTCCTTGCCTGCAGTGAAGCAGAGAAATACATCATACTCACATAATAAAAGACATGGGCTTCAACCTGACTTTCCATCTTTCCTACAAATTCCGATTACTGTTGCTTTTTACCTTGTGCCTGACGGTGGTTGGGTGGGCCACCAGTAACTACTTTGTGGCTGCTATTCAAGAGATTCCTAAAGCAAAGGATTTCATGTTTAATTTCAATAAGGCCCTAGCTTTGGAGAAAGAAGCGACTCTGACTAATGAAGCATCCATGAAAAAGGCAGAACTTGATGACTGCCCCCCTAAGTCTCCACACCTCAGTAAGTGTTTCCTTTTTTCTTTTGTATAAGTTGTATGCAAACTTTTGATTTAAATGTATGTACAGAAAAGTATAAAACTCAGAAGTGTACAGCTCAGTTGAGTTTTGCAAAATGAACATACTTGTCTAACCAGCATGTACATTAAGAAATTGAATCGTACTAGAACCCCCGCAGTTCCCACGCTTCTTTCAGTCACTACCTTGTCTTCAAGATTCTAACTCTATAGGTGAGATTTTTCCTGTTTTGAACTTTACAAATTGGAAGCATATATGATGTATTCTTTTGTGTTTGACTTCTGTTGTTCAACATTATTTTTGTGAGATTGGCTCACATGGTTGCATGTGGTTATAGCTTGTTCATTTTCATTGATGTCTAGTATTCCATCATATGAACATACCCAATTTTATTATCCAGCCACAAGTCTCAAAAGCACGTAGTGACAGAGTCCATTGATCCAGGATGGTGGCTCTGTTCTATGTGTCTCCCGTTCTCATCCTGGGACCAGTGGGCTAGCCTGGGCATGTTCTTCTCATGGTACCAGCAGAGCACGAATGGAGAAATGCAGGCGTGTTCAAGATTCCATTCGTGTCACATTTGTTATATCCCTTTGGCCGAAAGTATGGAGTCAAGGGGCAAAGATTAAAGTTTTCGATATTGTCTTTAGTGTTTATTAAGTATTGCTATATGTTTTTATTCCCCTTGGAAGTCGTGCCTTTCAATTTAAATTAACAGAAAATTAATTTAACAGTCTGAGATCAGGGTGCCAGCATAGTCAGATTCTTGGTGAGGGCCTTCTTCTTCCTGAGTACGTCCTCGCGTGGCCTTTCCTTACACGCACGTAGGGAGAGGGGGAGGAGACGAGGAGAGACAGATTCATGTCTCTTGCTGCTTTTGTAAGGGCATTGATCCCACACAGAGGCTCCACCCTCGTGAGCTCATCTAAACCTAATTACTTTCCAAAGGCCCCACGTTGGGGGTTAGGGCTTCAACATTTGAATTTTGGGGGGGACACAAACATTCAGTACATGGACTCTGTTTCCTAGTGGAATCACAGTCTTGTACTGCATTCATATGGACATGCTACTTGTCTTTAGTCAGTCACGGAAGAGCCAGAATGTTACTCATGATCGTGTGTTCTCTCCACAAATTACACAAGTTGAGATATGAAAATGATTAAAATGCAGATCTGACTGTAGTGTCCCCCTTTACCCCAAATCTTCAGAATATATTTAAGCAGTAAATTAATTCATAAAGAAGAGATGGGGTGATGCAATGCTGAGCGAGTGCTAGATTACAAGGATGGCATAGAAGTGATGACTTAAGATGGGCACATTAAAAAATTATGGCAATGAGAAGGTGAGGCAGCAAGCTAGTTTATGTTAGACCTGTTGAATGAGGCTTTTTTAGGGGGCAAGAACAGAGACTTGTCCCAGGTCAGGTTAATAATGGGGGTTTATGAAAAGGCTGCCCAGGAAACCATTTCGACAGCCACCCCTTTATCTCTGGCAGCTCTGTAGCCCAGCAGCACTTGTCTTCTGTGAAACTGTCTTTCTTACAGCTTGTTTTTAGGGCATTACTGATTGCTGACTCTGTGTCTAGCAGATCCTTCTGGAAGACTCCTGTAGGCCAGTTATTCTCTCTGGGTGGCTTGAGGCAGTTACTTACCCTTGGTGCTACTGGGCAGAGAATCAAGGTGCTGTTAGACTCTTGAGCCTGGTCTAAACAGCCATAGCCAGGGTCGGGCATGGTCACATGGACCAGGCATGGAGACTTGTATTCATAGGTAGGACGGGCCTGTGACTGCTTTGCTCAGAAGGAGATAGCACAACTTGCAGGCATCTTGAGAGTTTGCACCCTGACCAATATATGTGGAATTAAAAAAAAAAAGAAAGATAAAAAAAGCTTAGCTCAGTTTCCACTTGTGGCTTCTTTGGGCTTCATCTGGTCAGGTTTTTTCCAGACTCACTGAGCAAATGCTGTACTCCTTTGGAAATGTCTGCCAAGGTGGCACAATGGAGAATTGTTACAGTGTTGCACGTGCCCACGTGCTGGGTTAGGGAGTGAGGCTAGTTTCTACTTCTTTCTAGTGCTTTTCCTACAGGGAGCGAGGACAGCTGGAGTTTAGGAAGGAGTGGGAAAAGGGTCTCGGTCAGGAGCTTGATTCCATGCAATATTCTTGATTTTTAAGAGATTTCACCCTCTTTCTGGAATCTGGAGAAGGAAATGAGTAGAGGGCAGATTTGAAGAGTGACTCAGTCTAGCCTTGACCTTTGCTTTTTACCAGGGTCACTACGACAGTCTGTATTTGCTACTTACAGGTGGATCAGACAGCCAGAGTTGATTACCCAGCCACAAGGAAATGCTCGTATGTATCACTTTGCTTGCTTTGCAGCTGATAAGCTTAGTGATATGATTCTGTGGTTGTAGTCCATGACTAAACGAGCCTTCAAAGTAATAATAATAAAAGCTGACGCTCACAGTGCTCACTGTGTGCCTGACGGTGTTCAGTGTGCTTTATATGTATTAGCTCATGTCAGCCCCTGAGCCCCCTCTAAGGTAGTCCTTTTATTACCTGTGTCCTGTGTTTATTGTAGGAGGCAAGAGCAAGCTCATTTTCAAACCAGATCTCACTTTGGAAGAGGTACAGGCGGAAAATCCCAAAGTGTACGGAGGCCGCTATCACCCTGAGGAATGTAGGGCTCTGCAGCGGGTGGCCATCCTCATTCCGCACCGGAACAGAGAGAAACACCTGATGTACCTGCTAGAGCATCTCCATCCCTTCCTGCAGAGGCAGCAGCTGGAGTATGGCATCTACATCATCCACCAGGTGAGTGTGGGGCAGACCAGGGCCCTCCCTCCAGGCCCTGCTCTCTCAAGGACTCGGCCACATGACCATTTGTCCATCGTGGGTGAAAGGACCAGCAAACTATTAACGTCTTCAAAGGAGAGTTCTCTTACCTCATTTATCCCTGAAAGGAGCAGAGACAATTCTTGTCCCAGAGTGTGGAGTTATGGGACCAAGTTGTGGGAAATTTTGCTGCCCTTCAATGAACCTCTAGAGGAAGCTAGAGGTATTTTTTGTGAGCCCTTCCTTGTTAGCCAGTGACTGACCCAGGGTTTTCCCTTGAGATTTACTGACTCCTTATGTTTCCTTCTGCATTTGCTTTACACTACACCATGAGATGTTAGAATTGTTTTCATTATTAACTATAGCTATTTAATGGGGACCTAGACAGAGGATTTGACATAATATTCTGTTAATAGCCATGACTATATCCATTTTTCTGCCCTTAACTTTGCCACCAGTTATTATGTAAAACATGTTATGTTTAATTTTCACTTTCTTGATTCACTTATTTGGCTTCCAGAAGCATGATTTAGTAGGAACTCTGTAATTGTAGGCTGCTTTGGAAGATTTTAGCTGCGAGGTCAGTGGATTGGGTGATTTAAGGTGCCTCTATTTGGTATTAAAGTTTATTGAAAGAAAACTTGAAAGACATCAGTTAAACATCTATGTTTAAACTTTTCAAAATTGTCCTTGGCTATGCAAATAATTCCCTCTCAAATTCTTAGAAAGATAAGAGTGCAAGCAAAATCATAAGTACTTATGTAACATTGATTATGACTGGTAATACTCATTTTAAGTAGAATTTTTGACAACTCAGAGGATCAGGTCTGCAGTGTGTATTTTATAATAAACTGGGATCTTGAAAATCAATGTGCTTATATATCTATGCCCATTTTTTAGTGCTTGAAACAAAATTTTACATTGTTTTATAGTTATTTTTGCTTTTAACATTGTTGGCCATAGGTTTGATTTATTTGATTTTGAGTTCTTATTCAGGACAGCAGCCCAGATGAATAGAAAAATACGTCTACTTTATGTTATTCTTTTCAGGAAAACACTGTGGTAGCTCCTGAGAACTGCTTGTACTTTTGTTATGATAAACCATTTATTGAACTGGAACTTATTCTTATGGAATTTGATCCAGGCAGCCATGAAAAAAATTAATACTGTAAATTTATTTCTATACTATAGCTTTGATCATATTACAGATCTGATTGTGCTCTTTCCCTACCCAGTGGCGAATCTCTCTCCGTAAGGACACTGTGAAGATTGGCTTCTGCCATTTGTGTCATAACGGGATCCTCTTACAGTGATTTCCAAGAAACTTTTGAGTAGCTTAGCAATATTAGTAATAAATCTTCTCTGTTTAGAGGTCAGGATTTCTTGATCCTTTCTGCAAGCTATTAACTAAATCTCTTGGAAGCTTAGTATAATTTATAACAGGGTAAGATTGGGATCAGCTAAGAATTGAACAGTGAAGCAGTAATACTGATTGACATGACTAGTATATAAGAAAGGTTTTGTAGTTTTATATGGAATAAAGGTATTTGTGAAATTTTGGGTTCAAAAAATTTTTTTTAATTACAGTAAGAACATCTATCCTCTTAATAAATTTTAAGTGTACACTACATTATTGATAATTATTTGAGTTATTTTTATGTTTTAAAACTGTTTAAAAATGTTTTAATTGTGGTAAAGTACACATAACATAAAATTTACCATCTTAGCCATTTTTTTCACTTTTACTTATTTATTTTTACCATCTTAACCCTTTTTAAGTGTACAGTTCAGTAGTGTTATGAATATTCATACTGTTGTATATCCAATCTCCAGAACTTTTTAATCTTGCAAAACTGAAACTCTATGCTATTAAACAACAACTCTCTAGATTTCAAGGAATGTTTTTAAGTAATGGAATATAAGTACGTGTGAAGCATAAAGAACAAAACTCCAATGGTCTTTCGTGATCATTGCAGCTACTCCGTCAGATCTTTACATCACAAGTATAGTCTTGTGTGTTAGCAAGAATAATACCAACTCTGGAATCTGATCTGAAGAGGGGAACAATGTGAAATCCCATCTCAGGAGCTTTTCAAATTTTAATCTCTGTATCTGTAGGCTGGAAGTAAAAAGTTTAATCGAGCCAAACTCTTGAATGTGGGCTATCTGGAAGCTCTCAAGGAGGAAAACTGGGACTGCTTTATATTCCACGATGTGGACCTGGTGCCCGAGAATGACCTCAACCTTTACAAGTGTGAGGATCAGCCCAGACACCTGGTGGTCGGCAGGAACAGCACTGGGTACAGGTAACATGGCTGTGCTGCTGGGTTGCTGAGGTCAAGAAGCTTGCCTGTGTGCAGCAAGTGCCCAGAGTGTCTTAGCAAAGCAAGAAACAAGAAAAATGGTCCATGATATATTGCTTCAAATTCAAAACAGGAATTAGAGATTGTAAAAGGAAAATACCCCATAGCAGCTTTGGCAGAAAATCACAAAGACAAAAGGGAAAGAACAGGGGAGAGAACACAGTCTGAGCATTGCAAGTGGTGGCTGGCCTCACCCTGCAGTGCCCACATGGTGGAAAAGCCACAAGCTGAGTAGAACTCAAGTAACTTATCTGTCTATCCCCGACTCCCACCTCTAGGAGGCAACAAGATGGTGTCCCTTGGGTCAACTTTTAGGCCTCAGTTGTGACATTGCTTTCCAGATGTGGCCTTTTTCTGGAGTTCAGAGAGGCATGTCCACTGCCCTCAAAAAGCTCCCTATTGAGTGTTGGGGTGGAGAGACAGGTAGTTACAGTGGAGTTGCATTACTTTTGCATTTCTGCAAATACAACTAGATGCACTGGATAAGGAGAGGGGAAGAGAGGGGGAGAGAACTATAAAACTATAAAATAACACAGGAGATTCCACCATGCATACTCTTGAGTGTGAAATGGAAACTGAATCTCTTGATGCTTCACTTGCTCTTGGCTTCCATGTTGCTGTTACTGTGTAGCTCTCACATTGAACTGTTTAAGATAATTCTTGAGTAAGGGGACTTCAGGTGACTTTGCCTCAGCTATGGACTTTAAACCCAATCCCTGTATAAGCTGTGGGATATAAACAAACACCTAGAACAAGCTGCAGTGGTTGAGAGCACAATGTCTTTTAAGAAACACCATAGAGGGAAGGGTTTCAGGCTGTTCCTCAGGGAAGGTGACACCTTCATCTTGTGGAATCAACAGGAGCTTCTCAGCAGAGTCCTAAAACATGCCAGAGAGCATGGCATGGTTTGGGGAGATATGCAAGCAGTTCATTGGTATTCTAGAATGTCTGGGAGGAGGGGCAAGAGATGAAGCTAGGCAGGGGCCAGAGATTATACAGGCTTTGTTTAGTCTGGTAAGAAGTTTGGATTTCCTATGGAAGGGGATAGGAGCTGTTGACACATGGTTACAGGTAGGGAATGACAGGAGAAAGCTCAGTGCAGTCTGTCTTTCATGTATTGGTTGGAGCAAGGTAGGAGGGGAGAAGCCACAAGCTTGAATTAGGGTGAGGACAGTGGGGACAGAGGACAAGGAGAGAAGCACAAGATTTTTCTCTTTGGTGAGAACTTGATGTATGGATTTGAATCTTATTATCTAAAGGTTTTGTTTTCTGATTTCTTTGAGCCACTTCTGCCTTGAAGAAAGCAGCATATCATGGCTGAGCACACTGTGGTTTTTTAAGAAGCAGGTTACCATCTGTTCACTTATTATGTAACATTAATAAGCTATTCCTATCTACAACACAGAACGCCTCTCCTTCAGAAACTTGCCATAACTATAACCCTCCCATTGCCCACTTCTTTCTAGCTAGATATCAGAAAGTCTTTGTCTTGAGAAACTGACACGTTTTCTTAATGTGAATCAGATAATTGAACGTGTTTGCCCTTTTGATCTGGTTGCAGGAAGCTCTAAGCCAAATCCATGGCCCTCTTTTAGAAACCGAAAAGAAACTTATTTGCAGATCAGAGTTCTAATGTATTTCCTGTCTTAATTTTATGTCCTGATTTAAATTTTTCTCTGGTTTGTCATTTATATTATTCTATTTCATTGTATGTATCCTGTAAATGGCCTCATCTTTTGTAGCCACACAGAGGCATGTACAGGTAACATGGGAGTTGGGTCCTTACCTGCCACTGCTTACCTTTTCTACTCTGCCCCACTCCCTGTGGTGGCGTCAAGCTCACCGGCAGGCAGCTGGGTGTCTGCCCCCTGCTGGCAACTATGTGTCACTGCGCCACCGAGCTTAAATCCGCACATCCTCCTCTGTCACGCCAGCCCCATGAGTTTAAGTACAAGACATTTTTTCCCTTTACACATGGAGAGAGAAGAAGTTAAAGGAACTTGCCCCAAGTGTCTTTGACTCTAACGAAGCCAAAGATTGATCTTATTTATCGGTGCTTGTGGATCAGTGATAAAGCTCTAGACCAGCCTCTGGCGAATTTTACTGGCCAGAATTCCTTTGGCAACTGCCTCCTTTCGACTGTTATTTTATGATTCCACTGTTATTTTATGACTATATTCTCCCTGCCCTTGGGCCTTACAGCCCTTTAAAAAATGCAAATAAAACTGTTCTGGGCCAATTCAATATTTATGCTTTTACAGAAAAGAAGGAAAACCCAAAGCAAAGATCAATAAATACCTAGACAGTTGCCATCCAATAGGCACCTGAGACACAGCTCCTTAGCCTTTCTTTCCAACTTGTCTCCTCTGCTCCTCCCTGCCCCAGCTAAACTTGTCCCAGGTGTTCCTCACACAGCCCGCGCTTGTCTCCCTCCTGTGCTTGGGCTCACAGAGTTCTGGCTACCAGGAGACCCCCCCCCCTTTTTCTGCCTATCTAAATCCTTCCAGGCTCACCTCCTCCTGCTGTGGTGGCATCTTCTTCCTCAGAACCCCAATAATACTCATTTCTCCTGTTAGTGCCCAAACCCTGCAGGGCAGGGGGTATGCATTACGTGTTTAGCCAGCTGCCTTGTGCATGGCGGATAGTGGTTGTGACAGATCACCCCCAAATCATCAGTGCTGGTTCTCTTGTGGCACTTGCTCGCTGGTGCATGGCAGGTTATGCCCGGGCAGTAGTTCCACTCACAGTGCCCCGAGGAAGCTGCTGATTAAGAATCCTTCCCAAACAGTTTCTGATAACCATTGCTACGAGTCACTGCTAGTAGATGGCTTGATCAGTAACAATTACCTTCTGAGCACCTTATTTCCTTTTGTTTGTTTTAGGTTTCAAAAATACTGTTTCCCAGAATTTTAAGTTAGGGGTATATGTAAATAAATCTATGTTTTTTTATAGGTTATTCAGTATCCCCAGGCTGTACTCAGAACATAGAAACAAACAGCTGAGCTACAAATTAGCTTTTGAGACGTCGCCTGTTAGATGGCAAGTGTTTATGTGTTTATTGATCTTTCCTTTTGGTTTGTCTTCTTATCTGGAAAACCATGAATATGTAATTGGTCCTGGAACAGTTTGAACTGAAGTTAATTAAAGTTAGAAATCCTCCAAATATTCACATCTTTTTATTCAGTAACATCCAGATTATTAAGCTGCCTTCATTTGCATTTCTGACTTGTTACAATTAAAGGATATCTTTATTTCTCAGATTTAGTAATTTGTCCACTGATAATAAGAGTCCTATCTCACTGGGAGGTGCTCTCAGACTGTTCTCTCCTGACCATTTTCATGTGTTTTTTTTTTTTTTTTTCTCTTTCCCCTTTTACTTGTTGGTAGTATTCTCCACAGTTTCATAGAACTTAACCCCACACTTCTACCTCTGTACTTTCCTCACTGACTAGATTCTCTCTGGATGATTTCTTCTACTCCTGTGCCTTCAAGTACTACCTGTTGACAGCTTATTTCCAAAGCCGTGTCTGTAGCCATTCTCCTTTTGTGAGTTTGGCCTCTGTGTCCTTTTGCCTACTGGCAAAGCCCCAGAGATATCTCAAATTCAGCTCAGTCGGAACCATAATTTACTCTCTTCTTCTCAAAACCTAATTATTATTCTGTACACGAAAGGTACTATCCTTTACCTAGTTACCAGGCCAGAAACCTCAGGGGTGTTAAGGTGTGTTGGGTTCTCCAGGAAACAGAGCGTGAGTTGAAGATCTGCATGCAGAGAAGTGGAGATTTGGATGAAGGGTGTGTACATAGAGTGTGTGAAGGAGCTGTCTCCTGCTTTCCACCACTGCCCTGGCAGAAGTAAAAGTAAAACAAAAAGTCCTCATGACACTCATTTATGCTGAACCTGGATGCAGCCTCAGAATCCTTCTTAACCAAGTGCCCTTGGTAGCTGTTACCATGCATTAGATTGGCACATGAGATGAAATCTGTCATCCAGATCTGATGTTGTGGTTCACATTTACAGGTATCTCTATAGACCTGTACACATAAAATCACCGATACCAGTTGGGTGGCACTTTGCTTAGTGAGCAAAGGTGAGCATTTGTGTAGACAGAGAAGGCAAGACAGAGGAGGCCAGGCGTGTTGGCAGGCGGGTGTCAAGCAGGAGCAAATGGATTGGAAGTGTTCCTAGAATGCTAGCCTTGAAATCAGAGACCTCTGAAATGTCTGTGGAGAACAAAAGGTCTTGTTACTAATGTTCTTACCTTTTCTTTGCTTTCTTTTGCTCCAGGTTACGTTACAATGGATATTTTGGGGGTGTTACTGCCCTAAGCAGAGAGCAATTTTTCAAGGTGAATGGATTCTCTAACAACTACTGGGGATGGGGAGGCGAAGACGATGACCTCAGACTCAGGTGAACAACAGAGAAGGGTCCCCTTTATGGGGCTCTCCTATCAGTGGTGGCTCTGGAAGCCTGCGCTTATGTATCATTCCTCTGGGTGCTGGACCGGCAGGTCACTAGGCTGTGGATTAGGGCTTAAAGCGGGTGGAGGGAGGACAGGATGGCCCAAATAGTTCTTTGCTAGTGGCAGCTTATTCCCGGCTCGTGGGTGTTTGGGTGTGGTGAGGGCCTCTGTGGACTTGTCAGTGGGAGTTACTTACTGAGACAAGGTCTCATCAGTGAATGGGACGTCTCAAACTGCAGGGTGTCTGCAAAAATGCAGTTTGCAGGAGGGCCTGTTAAGAGCCTTACGCTTTCTCTCGGACCCCAGGGGATCCTGGCACACTTCCCAGTGTCCAGAGCAGGGAGTGCCAGCAGCCTGTGAGGAGCTGCACATCCTGAAGTAGGCAAGGGTGTCCTACTCCGTGTGCATTAGCCAGCCCCGCACACTGGGGGCGCCGCTGGCGGCCTGACGCCCGGGCCTGACTCTGGGCTGTTGGCATTGCCTTCAGTTCTTTCAGACTGTGTTCTCTGTGGTGGGCTCAGAGTGGGTAAATCTAGCCTCTTCTCTCAGAGTCTTCCTCTGAACTTGGGTTTTGTGGCCAGGTAGTTACAGGTATCCCTACTTCCTAGAAATAAGTAGTTATTCAAGAGCTCGGAGCTGGTATCTTCCAACTTGTAATCACAAGGTCTTTCTGGCTATCAGAGCTCCTCCCTTTCCTTCCTGCTATTGCTTCTTGGAAAGGAAATTTCTAAGCCAGTGTTCTGAATTAATAAATGCATGACTATCAGAAATTTTCCATTGCTTCAGCCGAAGGAACCGCGGGAATCCGTGCTGGTCTCATTCCTGTGTCTAGGCAGATAGTCTCTGGCATGTTTCTGGCAAGAGGGGATGGATTCCCCTGCCCAAGGGCTCTGCAGAAATGGCCATAGTGATGGGCAGCAGCCCAGCTGTAACAGCCTGTGGCCATGCCCACCAACTGGATGGAGGCTGCCTGCTAGATTTCAGGCAAGAGTAGCAAAGGCCAAACAGTAAATAATTCCTATCCTCTGCCTCAAGTCCACTTCACTGCCCAGCTGGGGTGAATAGTAGAATTTTCCACTGATCACATATCTTCACTTTTTTCCTGCTACCCCTCAGCTTCAAGGTACAGGGGAGCCCCAAGTTTTGCTTTCGTTTGATAGTCATAATGGCCTTCAGAATGGTTCTTGACCGATGTTATGGATCAACCAAAATGATTTGAATGTAAAAGTTGGTTGAGATTTATTTGCTAAATACCTACTTATTCACCTGTGCAATGGGCCCCACCCTTCTTTGCTTATATAATACACTGCAGTTTGCAAAGCGTGTTCCATGCAGATTATGTCACTTCAAATCAACTCTGTATCACCATTACCCTCTTACAGACAAGGGAACTGAGACCTGAAATACAGAACTGACTTACTGAGGCTGTAAGTGATAGAGTCCAGATTTGAACCTAGGTTTGTGGCTTTAAAGCTTGTGACCTTAAACGATCATTCCTTTCTTTGTTAAGAGAAGGCAACTCTAAGTAAATTCAGGATCCTAAGAGACTTGATTCTCCTAGTTTTTGGGATATTTTAAAATGAGTACTTTATTGGCTTTTTTCTTTTGAAAATGACTAACTATAAACTGACCCATCTCCTTTGTACCCCAGTAGTAAATGTTAAATGTGATTTTTATGGGCTTATTGCCTCAGTTCCCACTGTAATAGGAAATCTGAAATTTTAGGAGTTTTTCCTTCTTTTTTTAATACCCAAATAATCAAGCTATATGTGACACTGTGTGTGTGTGTGTGTGTGTGTGTAAACTTTGGTGAGTGATTCTTTTTAAGTGCCCAGTAGATAGGTGGGATGGATTTTTTTTTTTTTAATTTTTTCTATTATTTTTCTAGGGTTGAGCTCCTTAGAATGAAAATATCCCGACCACTGCCTGACGTGGGTAAATATACGATGATCTTCCATACCAGAGACAGAGGCAATGAGGTGAATATAGAACGGTGAGTCCTGGATTCATGTGACTGGCAAGCTACCTACGTGGTCTCTTCTGTCAGGAAGGACTATGCTGAATTTGATCAGATACGAGGTTTTTAAAACAAGAGTCACAATATTGTTATCATACTTATTAATAAAATTAACAGTACCTCCTTAATATCATCGGATGTCTAGTCAGTGTTCAGATTTCCTTGATTATCTCATGAACACTTTTTTTAAATAGTTGGTTTGTTCAGATCAGTATCTAGGACAAGGTCCATGCTGCATTTGGATGATCTCTTTTGATCTGTAGGTTTCCCCTCCCCTTCTTTTTTTTTTTCCTTGCAGTTTATTTGTTGAACAAACCAGGTCATTTGTCCAATAGAATTTCTTACGTTATGGATTTTGCCGATTGCATTCTAGTGGGGCTGAGTCCTTTCAATATAACCAGAGTAGTCTTTGAGAGCTTCCTTCCCTGTGCTCTGGCGTGATGAGATGTTCTAAGCCAGGCGTCCTCAAACTATGGCCCGCGGGCCACATGCGGGTATTTTTGCCCATTTGTTTTTTTACTTCAAAATAAGATATGTGCAGTGTGCATAAGAATTTGTTCATAGTTTTTTTAAAACTATAGTCCGGCCCTCCAACGGTCTCAGGGACAGTGAACTGGCCTCCTGTTTAAAAAGTTTGAAGACCCCTGTCTAAGCTCATCTTGTAATTTTCCTACCCTAGGGATTTTCCCTTTCACCAAGGGATCCTGACAGATAAGCCAACTGTTATGGGGCTCTGATTGAAGAATCTATATTTCCTTGTTGCGATGTTTTCCCTAAATTTTAAAACAGCATTAAGGGGCTTTTAGCCCTTTTGTTAGCATCCACATTTTTAAACAGTATTAAAGGGCTTTCAGCTCAATATTAAAGGGCTCTGTTAGAATTAATATTTTAAAACAAATATTAAAATTAAAAAATTAAAATATTAAAAAGCTTTTAGTCCTTTTGTTAGAGTCTACCACTGTCACAAAACAGCTGTTTCTGTTTTCTGTGTCTTCCTAGTCTGTGTCCATAAGCATGTATTTTTCTCTCTACATTAAAAAAAATTAATTATTGAATAGATAGAAAAGAATACTTCTAAATTATGAAAAGTATGAAGATTCTTGATACCATGAACGCTGCTGGTATACACCACCAAAGCGGTGGGCCCCATTGCCTGTGGGGTCTCCCTAACCCCATATTCTCCCTCTTCCCATCCCCCCCTTCATTCCCCTACCCAGGTAACTCTTTACTGAATGTTTGTGATAACTATTTGTGATAATGATAAGTATTTCTGCTGTTTCTTGGTTTCCTTGTCTTCCCATATGCTTGTATCCCTGAACAAGAGATTGTTTAGTTGTGTCTGTTTTTCAACTTTATATAAATGAAATCACACTGTATTTATTCTTCTCTGACTTTATTTAGCTTGCCATTATGTTTCGGATCTCTATCCACATTGTTATGTGTAACCAAAATTTATTGTTTTTCACTGGGAAGCAGGTAGAGATCTGTTCAGTTCACTGCCCACTAGTCTTCCCGGATTCCACACTCTTCTTCAAACGCATCCTGCTCTTCTGCATGTTGGTACATCTTGCCCAGGGTGGTCACTCTGCCTGGAGTGTCCTTTCCTTCACCTTCTTCCCTTGGTGAATTTCTCCTATTTTAAGCATTAGTGAAATGTACCTTTTCCTGTGGCCCCTCGCCAGTGTCCCTCATGGAGTTGGGTGCCCCTTATTCTCCTCATCTATGTACACTCTAACTTTTTTGGGAGACTCTTATGAAAGCTTTGTACCTTCCCTGCCTACAGACATAATTTTCCCAACAACATTGGAGGATTCAGAGACCTCCTGAAGCTCATTAAAGGATCTGTGGCTCACACACTGTTTCTTGCACATCCTTTTGTCCTGTAGACATCAGCTCACTGAGGGCAATGACTCTTGTCATCCTTGGTTCCCAGGGTCCCACGTAGGGTCTGGTACATGAATACATGGTATCATTGGTGTCTGTTACTTTTGATGGAGAAACACACTTTTTTACAGCAGGAAACCCAACTGGTACAGTAATTTTTATAATAATTATGCCACACTTTGGGGCAAGGCAAAAAGCAATGGAAACATAGGTTATATCCTTATCATTCACATTTGTTCTTTTTATTTTTAGGATGAAGCTCTTACACCAGGTAGCACGAGTGTGGAAAAGAGATGGGTTGACTAGTTGTACTTATAAATTACTGTCTGTGGAACACAATCCTTTATATATCAACATCACAGTGGACTTCTGGTCTGGTGCATGACCTGGAATCTTTTGGTGACACTTGGAAGGACGAATTATATGATTGCAATAATTTTGGCCTAGAGACTTCTCCTAGTAGCACACATTCAGAACCTGTTACAACTAATTATTGGGCTGAATTTTTCCTTTTTATATTTTCTTAGCAGATATGGAATGTAAAACAATTGTAGCAAGACAGCTTTCCTAGTTGTTTTTATCATGAGGGTCAAATATTGTGATATGGATACTTAAAGGACTAAATATAAAAGGACGACTCAAAGGATATAATGAAGGCTACTTGAGAACTGTGGTTGAAGGAGATTTATTTACATTTGAAATGGTATATTGTGGGGTAAAAGGCCACAGGAAATAAGATTACTGAATGTCTCGGAGAACCAGAAGTGTTCTCATTCGAGGAGGAAGAAAGGTACGAAGATATGTTTCTGTTACTTATTTATCCTGCACAGTCTTCTGTGAAATGGGGTCCCGGGTGTGAAGAGGAAGGCCACAGAAGTGGGGAGAAAAGGTGAAGAATCAAGATGCGGTGGCCTTGGGAAGGAAGAGGTGGCGGAGGCAGAGTGGCGGAGGAAGAGGCTGCAGCTGCCTGGGGGTTGCTGGGTGCTGCCGTGGCTGCTCTGCAGTTAATACGCCTTCCAGCAGTAGCGCAGCAGAGAACATGTTACCTACTAGTTTTTAAGAATTTTGTAAAATGATTTTGTACATGTAGGATATGAATTAGCAGTTTACAAATTAATACATCTATAAAATACCTCTGTAGTAAAATGAAAAAGCTTTGCGTACTCAGTCTTGCTTTTTTTTTTCTTTTTTACTGTTATTTGAGGCTTACAGATATATTCACTTCAGTATCTATAATTCGAAACAGCTTGAAAACACAACAAAAGAAACAAAACCCTCCACTTTCTCTCTCTTTCATCTTTGCATCCCCCTCCCCGTTCTCATGTACGACCTCCTTGTGCATCTGGCTCGGGCTTGGGGAAGGCACCTCTGCCTCTCATTCTCTGGGCGGCTCCACGTTTCTGTCCTCACCATCCCCTTGTGCCTCCTTCTTTGCAATAGCGGGAACAGCAGGGCTGGTCTCGGGCACATCTGGTTGGTTGTGGGATGAGAAGGGGAGGAGCTTGTCCTTTAGCGGCCCAGGGCTTGGGAAGCCTTGGATTTGAAGGGTGGTGGGGCCGTGACACTAACTGAGCAGTGGCAGTGGTTTGGGAGAGAAGCTGCCAGTACTGCTGAGCTTCCTGGGGAGGGGTAGGGTGCAGGGGCGAGAATCAAAGGAAGGTAATAGGAGAGGGATGCTGGATGGGAACGTCGATAAGACAACTTTATTTGCTTAGGTGAATGGACATATAAATAACACAACATAAATAAATACCTAACCGTTCTTAGGTAAGTATTATGCTTATATGCAAGCCCCAGGGGCTCTCAAGCCATCATTACTATATGACACCCTAACTGTTAAACTTTGTCATAAATGAGCGTCAGCGAATAAGTATAAATAATATCTAATCCTTCCCAAGCAGAGAGAGGGAATAGGAGGGTTTGGAGCTCCCACGAAAAACAGGAGGAGTCACCACCCAAGTGGGGAAGGAGCATTTGAAAGGACAATACATTTCATAGACATAACAGGTTTACCTAGGGCTAGCCTGGTTTACCTTTAACTCCGCATAGGGAAGAAAAGTAAAAGTGGTGTTTTTTTCTTTATTTAGCAGAGGAATAGTCAGGGTTTTCGTATTTTTTGCCCAAACTTTATAAAGGCATTTGCTTCTCGGGAGATTTGCTAATGGGGCTGTAGTGTATTGAGTGAGCCTTCCTCTTGCTCTCCCCTCTCCTCTGCGGAATCTTTCCCTGGTGTTCTGTCCCAATTTTCTTAATTATGAATGTACTAACAGTAATTTGGGAGCTATGGGTCCCTCCCTGGTCATGGTTGGGGAGGGCAATGGTATAGAATGGTGTGTTCAAGGAATTTGAGGATCCATATTTGAGAACTCAATTTCTCTCTCAATGGAAATGGAATACAGCTAATACCAGGTGGAAACTCCCTGTGTTTTTTCAGCTATTAATAAGCATGTACATTTTTTAAAATGTTGGAAACCACTGAACTATGCCTCTTTTCTTCAAATAATTCTTACAACCAAGATAAGATACAAGTCACTTACATGACTTGTTATGACACTTCTTGAGGGGGAAAGTAATTTTTTAAGGCCTTTATGCCACCCCTGTGGCTCTTTCCCTGCCCCCGGAGTCAAAGAAGGGGGACTGGCCGGGAGTGCTGGACACAACGGCTGCTGCCTGCCATGTGCTATTCCCTCTGCTCTCACTCCCACCTGGGCGGGGGGAGCTCCGCCTCAAAGGAACTGATCTCCCCCAGTTCCTGCCTTGTGCGTATTTTTATAGTCAGTTACCACAAAGAGGCCAAGTGCTTCGAATGTTGTAGAGACGGGTTTGCCTGCTATGATTGTTAGGGATTATATGAGTGCAGACTATTTAGAAATTACAACCACAGAGTGTGCTACTTTAAAGTTTTTATTGGTTTTTTTCTCACCTATACTAGTATTCATTGTTTTAGCTCTTTACAGTTTATGATGTTTTTACACACACCTTATTGATGCTGCTGACTCGAGATAAGAAGGGCAGATGAGGAAATGAGAGGGTCCAGAGCAGGCAGGCGACTTGCCAGAAATCCACAGGTAGTGAATGGCGGAGTCAGGGCCAAACTCTGACTTCAAGATCCTGATGCCTTCATCTGGGCTGCTCTCATGCTTTGAGGTAGATTTCCCAAATCTATATCCTTGTCCTACCTCCTACAGAGGGTTCAGTATCTTCTGGACCTGAAAAAGTACATTTCTGTTCTCATCTGGTTTCTTGGAACTTTTTTCCAGACTCCTTATCCAGTGTTTTTGCCCTTCCCTTCCTCACTTCCACTCAAGCCCTAGCTGGATAGATTTCCTGGGAACCTCAAAATGCTCCGTGAATGGGTTCGAGAGAGATGAAAGACATTTTCTGACAGACCTGAAACTTCCGCAAGTCCTGTACACATATACAGTCCCTCTCAAAAGCCATTATAATGTCCCAAAAGGTGAAGCAGATTCAGGTACATTTCATAAGTTCTTTTTTGCCAATCACATTCCAGAATTTTTTTTTTTTAAAGTCTGTTCCTTAGTATCTTAGACATTTTAAGGTATTGCCACCTTCATGGATTTTAGTGTATGGATGGCCATCTTGTGCCTGCTGAGAGGGTCTGAGGGGAGTGGTTGGGAGGCCCCACCCCAGGGAGCACCTGTGCAGGTAAAGGCTCCATGTTCCATTGACAATTGTTGAGAATCTAAACAAATATCAAATCTTGTGTGCATATGTGGGATGTGTGTGTGTGTGTGTGTGTGTGTGCATTGCAAAGGGAAAACAGATTTAAGATAAATAACTTCCCAAAGTTGGTAAGAAGAGGAGATAAGTTTTGAATTCAGGTCTCTCTTGGCTCCAGTATTGTGCTTTCACACCAGAAAATAACAATGTCAGATTATGAGATGTCCCTTTGTGGGCAGTGAAAGCAAAGATTTTGTTTTATAGTTAAGATTCTAGAAAAAAATACAAGGAACTTGAGATGTATTTGTTAAAATGCCTTATTTTTTTCCCCCAAAGAATTAGTCTAAAGGCATTAAGGGAAAATGCCTTATCTTGATGACCCTAGTACATTCTTCCACTATTGAGTAGGAGTTTTACTGGAAAGCTATTACTCATAGCTATTGTTTGATGGCTGGTAAATTTGGATCAAGATATTTGATCATTAGCTTATTGCAATGAATCGAAGCAACATGACATTAGTGGGTGTGTTCTCAGGGATTATGGGCCAAGCAGAGGTCTTCAGACCAGATTTCTGGAATAACCTCCTGTTCCATGTCTTTTCTAGGCTGATGTACCCTTTACATGTCTTAAGAATCCTTCCAGTCCAGGGTGAGGACAGAGCCGTATTTCTGCAGTGGGCTCAAAGAAGTTACGTGACTTGTCAGAGAGCTGGCATTTTGAGCCAAGTATTTGACCCCAGAGTTCATGTTCTTAACCACTTTGTGGTATCAGAGAAATAAATAAGCCAACAAATAGAGGAAATAAGGATGGGCAGAGTTATTTGGGGAATGCTGATGCCCTCAGCCAAAAAACCCCAGGAGCACATCTGCAGATAAATAAATTGGGTTAGATGTTGGTTAAAGGATACAGAATTTCAGTTAAATAGGAGGAATAAGTTCAACAGACTTGTGAACAAAAATTGGGATTATGACTTGCTGCAGTGAGCAAAAGCACAGCACGGGGAGTGGGGAGGACCATAAAGTGACTCAGGTTAGAAAGAACTATTACAGCTTTTGGGTTTGGGCTGGGTCATTTGGAGAGGGTCTGAGGAGGGATTTGCTCTGTATTGGATGCTGTCAAAAAGCAGGGTCAAGTCCATAATTGTGGATCTCAATAAGAATTATTTACAGGGAGGAGACTAGCCAGAGAACAAACCTGTAATTGGTAATAAATAGGGTCACTCGTTTTAGCCAAGAAAGTGGGTGTTTGTATTTTGTGGGTGGTGTAGTGACTGTCTTTGTGCTTAGACAAAACTTTACAGTGGCCTTGGTTCATCTCATTTTATCGTGGTCTCAGAGTGGCCTTATCTGTGTGAGATTGGAAAATAGCTGAGCCCCATTGTGAGTGCCAGGCAAGCTTCTGAATGTCAGGGCTGCTCTCCTTTTTCAATAGGAACTCAGGGTAGAGATCACATGAAAATAGGGCATGACAGCATCATTTCTCTGTAATCCCAGGGTTTGGCTGTTTGTCTCCTAAAGATGTGGGATGGGGGTTGTGGGCTGGGGGAAGTGTTGGTTGGAGAAGGGGTTGGCACATCTGTGTTTCTCAGCAAGCCTGCCTTTCCCCGAGGTGTTTTTGGACTTGCTCATTGGATGTGGCCACTTGATCCTTAAAATGCACGAAAGCAAACTCAATATCCTACAACTAGTTTCATCTGGGTTTCTTCTTTGATTTAGTCTCACTTATAGTAGGTGAGAAGAAGTATCTGGGCGAAGTGAAGCTGGGAAGAGAAACTAGAGGAAATACTAGATACAGAAGGAGAAAGGAAATTGTTCCGTCAATAGAAATGAGAACCCAGCTGTTTCTAATTCCTCCACTGTAGGCAGCACAGCTTGTCAATCAGATGGGTTGGGGTAGGGGTGCAAGGTGGAGAGGAGATTAGATTTTCAAGTTCACATGATTATTTCTCTTTCTTTTCTTTATGAGTAGCCAGAAAGTATCTGATCTGCTTCTTAAAACAGAAGCAGTTCCTATTTATTCTAGCTGGTGTAGGAAAGAAAAAAAAAGTGAAGGCTGACAAACAGGAGCAGGGGCTCTCTAATGTCAATGTAACTTTCCACCAGGGTCAGGAGCAGCAGGAAATGGCCAACCAAGAGAGCGAGATGACCGCCTGATGTCGCAATCCAGTGAAACTTGAGATAGCCTGACACATTATTGGTGTTAAGTAGTAATTGTTCTTTGCCCACCTGATAAGCAGCTTAACTGTTGGAGAATAGGAAAGTTTCACAATATTGGTTTTGTCTGGGCCTGTTTTGCGCCCAATAACCTGTCAGCTCCCCAGAGCCAAGCTGCCTGGCTCTCCTTCTTCACCTTCCTGGTCTGGCAGGGTTGGCCTGGGCCTTCCTGAGTAGCAGCTTGGGGCCCAGGACTTGCAGTGAGCCCCACTTCCAGGCCCAGGAGCCAGAAGGAAGGAGGGGAAGGCTCGGCCTCCCTGGGGGAAGGTGGAAGGGGATGGAGGCAGGAATGTGGCAGGATAGAAAGTGCCCTGAGGTTGAACCAAAGACCCCTGTGGGGGTACCTGCAGGAGTCCTGAATGGCTGGACTCAATGCAGGGAGATCCTCAGGCCTCGGTTCAGGTTCAGTGTCCTCCGCAAGTGTTGGGGGCCTGGGCTCAGGATCTTATTTAGTTTTGGGGGAGCAGAACCTGTCCCCATCTGTAGTGGGATTTGCACCTTCTATGAAGGAAGAGGCAGTGGCTACTGAAGGCCCTTTCTCTTCTAATTACTTCTTCCTAAGGAAGTGGAGGGGATGAGATTTAAGGAGCAGCATATGGGCCACCTTGCCTCACAATAGCGCTTTCCTGCCCTCACAGCTGTGCTGGATTCTGCCAACTGGAGACCAATTGCAGCCATCAAGGAAAAATCCATTGAGATTAAGTGAGTGGGGACTAAGTTGTCCCTCTCCCCTTAGTATGAATTAGTTTTCAAAAAGAATTTCCCTTGACCTAGCTGAGATCCAATCATAAGGAGAAGAGAATTTTGGAGCCTGAGACCCTGGCAGGGAAGGCGGGAGTGGGTTTGGGGAGCGCGTGAGGGCACAGGAAAGCCCAGGGAGTGGTGGGAGCAAAAGGCACTGCCCTGAGTGCCCCAGAGAGCATGGGGAGGGAGAGCAGCCGCTTCGATGCTCTGCCCAGAGTGGGCTCCTTCCCTCTCCCCTCATCTTCCAGGAGACCACAGAGACAGCCTTCTCGGCCAAGTGCAGGTGTCACCTCTCTTGATGCTCTAGGACACCTTTGTCCAGGAGAGACAAGGTGAGGCCAGAGAGGGGTGAGCTGGTTGTGCCCTTTCAGGGTGTGGACCTTTGGCCCCTGTCCCAGCTTTACCACAGGGTACACCGAGACTTGTGCCCTCCACTCCTGCCTTATGCCTGCTCAGCCCAACTCACGGGAACCTGGCGGGGTGGGGGAGGGGTATGGGGTGGGAGTGTTCTCTGAGTCTGAGTTTGCTGGGAGTAGGACCCGCAAGTGACAGGCACACTTTCTTCATAAGGGACATCATTCGGCAGTTGGAGTCAGATCACTTCCAAGCGCAGGAGGAAAAGGATTTCTAGAGCATGAGCTCCATCACCACTTCTTGGGTAGGTGAGCAGGAGAAAAAAGTAAAAGTAAACCACCGAGGAGTTCCGACTGTTTAACTGTACTGCAAGGGCTAGCTGGTTTCCAGCCAGAAGCCACGCCCTGTGTATGCGGTTTCCATCTCCTCCACCTTAATTCTCATGAATTAGGCTCTTCTGTTGGAAACCCCATTTTGTTAGACTAATATATGACTAATCATGACACTGGCAAAAATGAAGAAATCGAATAATATTAAATCCCTCTTTATTTATAAGACTAGGCAAACAAATATTGAGTTATAAGAACTTCCTTCAGGGCCACAAATGGAAACATAGTTCAGAAGAGAAATATTTTGACAGTAAACAAAAATCCCCATAAATCACCCCATTCTATTGACTGGCTTGCTTCTCACATGTCTGAAAGGTGTTTCAGGTTGAGACCATTCAGGGCAAGGAGTGAGCAAATATAACAGCAAACCCCTTCTTTGTCTTCAGATATCTCCACACTTTTAATTAATGGAGAATTGAGGCTTCTAAGCACACATCACTCTGCAAGGTGTGACAGGAAATTTGAACCATTATTAACTCAAGATTGAGGATTGTTCTGGAGAATAAAAGGATCTGAAGTCAGCAACAGGAGAATTACCCAAGTGTCTATAGATGGGAGCCAGCGTAGAATGCAAAAGATGTATTTCAGCAACCTTTTCCTTACTTCCCCCTCCCACCCGCTGCAACAATGCTGAGGTAAAGGGAATCCTTGGAAGGTTTCTTTTAGAAAACAGTGATAAATACAAGGAGATGTATTATCAAAATACAGTCCTGGCTGATTGTGATAACACAGGTTTCTTTGACGTCTTTATACTCCCAAATTCAAAATAAACAGAGATAGAAGTTATTATATATTTTCCAAATTCTTTCCTATAGTCTATAAAAATATTGCAGAACGCTAGATCAGTATGAAAAGTACAGTCGTGAGAATTTTGGGAGCCTGGAAGGCTAAAGAAACTCCACATCACCTGACTTGGCAATTTGAGTGAGACATGCACGTGTGACTGTGGAGCACAGATGTGGGATATTAGGAGACAGCCGGTTCCAGCACCAAATCCAGAATCACTAGAGGAAGGAGGTATGGTGATGACACTTAATACTCAATTCTGCTCCAGAAGAACATGGTACCCAGGAGAACCCAAAACTAGAATAAAAAAAAAAAAAAAAAAGGAATTGTTTTAGAAACTTCTCATACTTGAAAAAAAAATGTTAGGTTCATACAGGCTTAGGTGACAATAGATTTTTAAGAGTACTCTGCCTTATGTTGCCTTGTAATTGGCTTATTGTTTTAAAAGGAATTAATAAACATTTAAAATTTTGTTGTGTTAACTTTTAATGGGGTAAATATCAATAGACACAGGCCATATCGACAAAAGCTTTTTGGAGTCCTCAATAGTGTGTGAGAGTGAGAGCTACTGAAATCAAAAGTTTGGGACTGTTTCCCTAATGCCACGGTTCTCAACCCTGAAAGCAAATTAGAATTGTCTGGAGGAAAAAGAGGCCTGGACCCTATGCCGAGATCAATGGGATCAGAGTATCAGATGTTGGGCTCCATCTGTGTTCTTTTAAAGCTTCTCCAGGAGGTTCTAATGTGTAGCCAGGGCTGAGACTCCCTGCTCTAACCGCTTGCTGCATATGCAGCAGATGAAGTGGGCGTTTGGAATTGATGGGGCTGGAGAGGCAGCTCTTTGGAAGGTGCCAGGCAGATTAGCATTGGGCAGGAGCCAGGTAGCTAGGTGACAGTCTTTGCTATCTGGTTGTAATGAATTAATATGAGAGCTGGAGACCTGGAGGAGCAGGATGGCATTCAGTAAGAAGTCCAGGAAAGGGGAAGAGGCTCTTCAGCCCCTAAAAGCAAGTGCGTCCCGGTCAACCAGAAGTAGCATCTGGTTAGGAGGGCACATCCTTCCCCTCGTATGGGAAGTTAACTTCCTGCCTCTCAGGGGAATCCACTATCCTTGCTCTCATGCCAGAAGTTTCCTGACTAGCCCTCAGGTCTGAGGTTTCCTTTGGAGGCCTTCTAGTGTGGTTGAGGTAACCAGTGGCAATCTCAAGATCTTTTCTTATCATCCTTTGAGAAACAAAGTCTGTGTTGGGAAATACTCACAGTCCAGCAGAGAATGGCAAACCCAAACCAGGCAACCCCCCAGGCATGTCGGTTCATCGGTCCAGAGATCAGTTCATAGCAGCCCTGGAGGAGGGGGCGATTCCACATTGGTGTGAGAAGAACCAGAAAAAAAAAAAAAATGTAAGACATTGGCAGGGCACTGTGGCTCACGCCTGTAATCCTAGCACTCTGGGAGGCTGAGGTGGGTGGGATCACTCAAGGTCAGGAGTTCGAAACCAGCCTGAGCAAGAACGAGACCCCGTTTCTACTAAAAATAAAAAAGAAATTAATTGGGCAACTAAAAATATATAGAAAAAATTAGCCGGGCATGGTGGTGCATGCCTATAGTCCCAGCTACTTGGGAGGCTGAGGCAGCAGGATTGCTTGAGCCCAGGAGTTTGAGGTTGCTGTGAGCTAGGCTGACGCCACGGCACTCACTCTAGCCTGGGCAACAGAGTGAGACTCTGTCTCAAAAACAAAATTGACAGAAAAGCAGGTTTTTATTTGAATCAATGCCACTCCAAAGTCCAGTTTCACATAAGCAGGCTATTGACACATCTCTGGGGACAGCCAGCTACTAACTGCCTGTTAGTAGCTGAGGGAGTGTAAATAATTCAACTATAGAACAACTATTCTATAAAACATTTGTGTCTTTATCATTCAATCTCACTACAAAGTGCTGCTATTTTAGCATAATATTCTTTCCATACTGAATATGTGGACACTATATTCTTAATAAAATTAGAATTTTCCCTCCTAACCGGTTTTATTGGTGATTTATTTGAAAGCCAGAGTTACCTTTTGATTTGTGTTTTTAAATAAAGATACTTCTAGTCTACAAAAACCAGAGGCCCTCTGTTGCCCTACATTATACTCCCTGAATTCTCATTTGACATCATACTTTAACACACATTTATTGGATTCTAGTGAGACTTTGAAGGATTATGGTGTGCATGCAAAAGAGTGATTAATTTTTAATTTACCAAATCCTTCATTCATACAGGCCATAATCCAGGAAGGTGTTACACATGGCACACTCTGTCCTAGTTGCTATGCAAAGTCCTGGAGAAGTAACATGTGTAAAGCTAGAGTTACCATCCGAGTGACCTCTACCAAAGTACTGGGAACCACAGGGAATGCACAGAAAGTGCAATAACCAGGGCTGGTTCCATACACCATGAGGTCTGGAGGCAAATATCCTAGAAAGGCTGACTTTGAAGTTTAGGCTCTCCCCAGTGGCTGCAGGTGACCACTTGAGGTTCTGACCTTTTTGACTCTGCCCCTTCCATTGTTTGTACTTACATGCCCTGCCTTTGCTATTTCTTGGTTTCTCCCTCACTTACATGACAGGTACATCCATTCACCTAGATGCTCAGATGAAAAATCTTAGAATTATCGACTGCTTTTCTTTTATCCAACATTGAAAACTTAAGCAAATCCTTTTGAGTCTACTTTAAAAATATATTCCAAATCCAAACAATTTTTTTATCACATCTTGGTGCCACGTTGGTCCACCAGGGCCTTGGTCCAAGATTACTGTGATAGCCTCCCGCTGGCCTCCCTGAGGCCTGAGTCCACTCTTGGCACCCTACTGGTCTTCACATGGTGTCAGAGCCATCCTTATAAAACATAAATCAGATCAATTTCCACCCCTGCTCGAAACCCTCCAATGGCTTCCTACCACCCTTGAAACGAAATTCTAAGTCCTTACCGTGGCCTGGGAGGCACTGTATGGTATGGCCCGCCTCTCTCTCTGATCCCATCTTCCACTACTAGAGGTGATTTCGCTGTAAAGCTAATGAGCTTAAACTTCAGGGACCCTTAGTGGCAAGACTGTTTCAAGGCCCTGTATCGACTTTTGTATGCATATTTTTAATTGCTTTTCCTAAGGAGGACCCCTCCCTACAAATTTCACAGGCTTCAGTCTACGCAAAAATCTAGCTCCATCCCTGTCTTCTACTCATCCTTCACTCATTCTGGCTTTGTCATATTGACCTCCTAGATGTTCCTCCAACATGTTAAGACTGCTTGCACTTCAGGGCCTTTGCACTCATTGCTCTCTTTGTTTAAAACCCTCTTCCTCAATCTTCCAGTTGCCTCATTTTCTCACTTAATTCAGACCTCTGCAAACATCTCAGCAAAGCCTTTCCTGACAACTATAGAGAAAACACTCTTTCCCCCCAGCCTACTCTAAACACTCACTCTGATTTATTTGTGCTCATGGCATTTATCACTACTGGAATTTTACCATGTTTTTGTTTGGTAACAACTTTTTTGTCTGTCTCCCATACTAGAATGCAAGCTCCACAATGGCAGGGATTTCGTCTTGTTCACTGCTGAATCTCTAGAACCTAGAACAAGTGCCTGGCACATAGTAGACACACATTAAGAATGTACAGAATCAGTGGAACATAACATTAAGTACTGATTATAACAGTATCATTGCAACATGCTTGATGGTTCAAAAAACACTTCCATATTATTTACTCACTCGGTCCTCTCAACAATTCTGCGAGGTGGTCTTTCATCTAATCATATATATAAGAGCCCACTTACGCCAGGTGCCAGGCACTGGGCTAGGCATTTAGCTGTGACAAACAGAAATAGGTCTTGCCTTCAACTAGCTTACAGAAAGAAACCTCTTCTCATATAGTGCCTTTTCATGATGCTAATCAGTTTAGTGGTGCTTTACTTGATCTTCCTTAGTTTCATCATAAGGTTTTTGAGGTATAGTGATCAGAATTTGCACATAGCATTTCTAAGGCTGATGGACCATGATGCAGCATGCATATATATATATATATATATACATATATATATATATATATATGCATCTGACATGCCATGTAAAATTCTGGTTGATTTCTACTCTTTTACCACACTGATGACTTCCCTAATTTTGTTAGTCTTCATGGCTAAAGCAGCACATTTGTGCATTGTATATCATGAAAAGCTACAATATGGATGTGAAAAAGAGAGCCATTTACTTTTTCATTTACCCACTCACCAAACATTTATCGAGTACCTGCTTTGTGTCAGGTGTCCTTCAATTTGAAAATGCAGTTATTATTTATTCCCAAGCCAAAGAGACTGACATTTCTCAATTATTTAATAAGCTGGCATACAACTCGCTTTCTTCAAAGAGGTAATTCCCAGCGCAGTGCACAGCATTTCAGTGTGGTGTCAACAGATGCAGGCTACAGGTATACAGGGATTCTCACCAGGGCATCTGGGGCCTATTACCAAGTCTTTATTGGCTGAGAGTCTGTGCTCTGGAGCCTGACTGCTCAGGTTTGAATTTACTAGTTGTGTGACCTTGGGCAAGGTACTCATTTGAACCCCAAATCTCAGTTCATCATCTATAAAATAGGAATCCTATCGGCACCTACTTTTGAACGTTAAAGGAGTTAGTATTCATATATGTATGGCACTTAGAACAGTGTCTGGCATTTAGTATGTAATAAATATTAGTTTTCATGACCATAATAACATCATCCACATCACCTGGAAACACTTTTTCAAAAACCATCTTTATGTAAATTACCTTCTACCCAAATTACCAACATAATGTTTTTTTTTTTTTTTTTTTGAGACAGAGTCTCACTTTGTTGCCCAGGCTAGAGTGAGTGCCGTGGCATCAGCCTGGCTCACAGCAACCTCAATCTCCTGGGCTCAGCGATCCTACTGCCTCAGCCTCCCAAGTAGCTGGGACTACAGGCATGCACCACCATGCCCAGCTAATTTTTTTTTTTTGTATATATATTTTTAGTTGGTCAATTAATTTCTTTCTATTTTTGGTAGAGATGGGGTCTCGCTCAGGCTGGTTTTGAACTCCTGACCTTGAGCAATCCGCCCGCCTCGGCCTCCCAAAGTGCTAGGATTACAGGCGTGAGCCACCGCGCCCGGCCCAACATAATGTTTTATTAAGACCATCCTATATTACCAGTGAATAAGGAATGTGGATATATAATTACTACATGTGTCCTCAGAAGTTGCCATTTCTTTGAAACTGGCAAGACATTCCTTTTGCATATCATCCCTTCCAATGTACATTTTGCAAAACAATAGAATAAAACTGTTTAATGTAAATATTTCTTGAAATACCAATTCTATACATTGTACAAATTGTTTTTATTTAAACAAAGTTGAATTTTGCTATTGCAATCCTCATGCTCTATTAATTTTGTTAAAATGTAAATGTGCTCGTGTCAGTCTGGGTTAGTATTCACAGTTTACTGGCAGAGAAGAAAATAGTTCCTAAGAGATTTAGGAAAAAGTATGTAGAATTCCCTACTGAGAGACTATTACCTACAGTTGACCAATATTTTCCTTAGAGCAGAAGAACTTTCCGGCAGGTTTTGGGACTAGAGCATACTCACCTGACTGTGGTAATAGCCAGGCACTCCCAGTTTGCAAGCCTCTAGGTTGAGAGGTTCTTTAAGATTGTTCATAACACAGCACTGACGGGGCCAGGGGTAGTCAGCATCGTTATTCTCAGTCCGGAAGGCAGACGTATATTTCTGCCAATCTGATGGACCATTTACACCACAGCAATTGTCCTGTCAGTGGATAAGAAAAACTAAATTCTCTTTCGTGGACTTTACTAGAGCCATCATTGTAGCGACTGAGATTTTATATAGAAAGAAGATATGGAAAGTATAACATATGTTATGTTCACTAAACAATCCCTAAAGAGGAGTTGAAGGTATTGGTAACTTACATTTTGGAGTTTGCAAAATATTTTCCACATTTATTACTTTACTAGCCATTAGTGAGCTCTGTCACCTTTGATATGTTACTTAAACTCTCTAAGCCTCATTTTTCTTAACTGTAAAATTGGAATACATATAGCAACTACCTCATAGAGTTTTTGTAAGGATTAAAGGGGTTAGTATACTTAATGTATTTAGTAGAGTGCGTGGCTCATGGTAAACCCCTAATAAATGTTAATTATTATTAATATTGTACTAATACCTTGATACAACAATGTGAGAGAGGTATAATTATTCTGATATTACACATGAACTAATTGAGTATAAGAAAATTAAAAATTTTAGTGGTAAAGAAATTATGCATCATTCTTCTTGTTTTACTTTTCTATATTTTTAATATTTTTCTGTAGTAATTATGTATGACTTTTATAATGGGAGAAAATAAACTGAAAAACTAACAAAAATCTGGTGGCACACAGCTATGCCTCTACATAGGAAGGAAGGTTAATTAACACATAACTGATATCCTTACACTCTGGATAGAATTGAGTATAGAGGATAAAACACAATTCACATCACTTTCCTTCCTTATTATAAATTCTGCTAAAATGTTTCAAAAAGGGGGATGTTAAAACTACAGGCATCTCTCAACTTTTAGAATAAATGTATCTATGCACACTTGATGATATATTTTGCCACTGGATTATGGGCAGTAGCAAACCAGGAAAAATAATCATTCTGTATTTTGACCTGAGCTTTCTGGGGAAAAATGGTTAAGTTTGAGCCAGGCTTATTTCAGACTAGGATTTAAGTAGGGACAGAGAAGAGTTAAAATTCCAGAATTGAGCTCTATAGTTCTCCAACCTTCAGAGTTGGGAAGAGTGAAAATCCAGCAAAGGAGACTAAGGAGTGTCCAATGTGACAAATGCTGATGAGATGACAAGAAAGATGAGGACAGAAACTTAACCATTGGATTTGGCAGGATGGAGGTAATTTTTAACTATGATAAGGGTCATGTTGTAGAGTCATGGGGTTAGAGGCCGATCATAGTTGGATGAAAGCAGATGAAGGGGTGAAAATGGAGGGAGCAAGTATAAGTATCTCTGAGATTTGCTGTAAAATAAAACAACAGTGGAACAGAATCATGGGTGAATGTCAGGTGAGAGAGAGTTTTTTGAAAAGATGGAAAATTTAAGGTGTTCATGTAGGATGATGTGAGGGAGAAGAGCAGGGAAGACTGTTGGTGCAAAGGAGATAGAATGCAGAGCAGATGCAAGGGACCTGGGTGAAGGGCAGTCCATTTGTCATAACAAGAGAGGAGGCAAAGTACATGGGTGCAGACGAATGTAGATTTGGTGGTAGAAAGAGGAGGTGGTTCTTGTTTAGTTGCTTCTATCTTGTCAATAAAATATGAGGTCAGGTCATCGTTTTAGAGTGAGGGTGAGAAGAGATTTTGCAGGTGTGAAGAGAGGGAAGGACATGTGAAATAATGGCAAGTGAATTTTCTGGGAAAGTATATTAGGAAATTTTGAGTGCCCATTTGAGCTTTGTGTTCATAAATTTAAGTTGAAACTATTTACTAGCATGGTTGTGTGACTTTTCCCAGCATCGTTTAGCTGTTTGGGTGTAAATGAAGAGTGAGGGAAAAGCTGTATTCAACTGCAGTGGGGGTGGTTATGAAAGAGTGATGACCAGAGGTAGGGGAGCAAAGGAAGCTGACAGAGGAATGACTAGAGGGCAGGACTTGAATATTAGTTGGGTAAGTAGGATAATGTGAAAAGGTTGATAGGAAGTGAAAGAGTGGCCAATTAATTGGAGGTCCTAATGGGGTAAAAATTATTAGAATGGGGATGCATATTAGAATTAATAAAAGAAATTATAGAAGATAGTGGGCAGAGAGTGGCATTTTCTTAGGTGGCACGGTCATTAGTGATGGCATGCTGGCTAAGGCCATGGAAGAAGGTGGCTGAGGTGAGGTGGAGGACAAGGTCTTTGGAATGGGGTAGGGCAAGGCGTTGAGAAACCAGATGTTGGTTGAGTCATCTATGTGGATGCTGAAGTCTCAATGTAGGATGACAAGAGGTTGAGTGAAAAGGTGGACAGTGAGTGTGATATTGAAATCCCTAATGGAGGCAGGAGAACAAATGGGTGTCGGGACGCTGGCGCATGATGGCAAGGAGGAGAGGTAAGGGCAGAAAGACACTGGTGGTGTGAAGGAGGTGTTTGATGGGGAAAGAAAATAGTATAGCAGCCAAGGGAGCAAGGAGGGGACCTAGCCAATGTCCAGGTCATTTGAAACATGAGCATGGCATAAAAATGAGAAGGTGAAGGGCAGGCAGTGCCACCAGGAGACAGTCAAACTTCTGATGAAGCAAGAGAATAAATAGTTCAGAGGAGTGGAGGCTACAGGGAGTGGGCTGATGACAACTGTGAACAGTTGGTGTGAGCTGGGCAGTGGACGGGGGGCCAGTGTGAGAGCTTGGTCAGATCCAGAGTTATGTAGAGAATCACAACTTGTGTATATAGGGCAATGTGGGGCTCATGGTGGATAATCTGGAAAACCTGGACTTTGGCTGGTATTTGAGATAAACACGGACATAAGGTATGACTGCCAATGAGAGAAAACTGGGGGAGCAAATCAAGTCACAGCCCCTGGTCCTTAGCAGGATTAGCTCATAGGGAGTGTGAAAGGTACCACAAAGGAAAAATGGGCAGTAAATGCAACTTGAGTTCACCGAGGGGCAGAGAAGACATTTTCCTTTTAACGTAAATGATACCTGAGTTCTAAGAGGCAGAGTGTATGAGTAATCTAAATTTCTTGACAATGACATAATCCTTATAAATGTAAGATAATCACTGTGATGGCTTGAAATAAAATATAGATCTAGGAGTCCCACTGAGTCATGAGTACAATGACTTCCCACCCTCACTAGTAAATAGAAATGGCATCTCCCCAACATCATGGGCCTTACCTGGAGCATGAGCCTGTCCCAAGTTTTGGTGACTCCATTGTTTTTCCATTTATCGTCATTGTTTGGAGGGCTGTTGTTTTGGTACCTCTCTAGCATCTGCTTCAGGAAGAGGTTGGGTGTGAACTACAGTGGAAAGAGGCCACATAAAAAGGAGAGTTAACACACTAATCCCCAAGGAGGGGGAAGTATTTTGCTCAGCCTCTTGCTAGGGACACTGAACATTCTCTCCTGGAACAAAACTGTACTCAGAGGCACCAAGTACAGTTGAATGAGGCTGCTTGAGGTTGGCTAAAGTCCTCATGCAGGGAAAAGACCCCCATCTTCAGAGAAATCACTATGAGACTAGGTGGACAGATATTGTAGGGTGGCTTAGGCTAGGGACACAGAGAAAGGGAGAGAAAGAAAGATGCTGAGTGGAGAGTAAGTCTTAGCTGAGGTGAAATGTGGACCATCCCACTGGAAGGCCCAAGGCCATGGCCCAGGGGTGAAGTGCAGAGGGATTGCGAGCTGGGGCCCAAAATTCTTTCACTTGCCAGCTGTGTAACTTTAGACAAGTTACTTTACCTTTTTGTCTCATTTTTTTTTATTTATAAAATAATAGGGATAATGCCTATTTCATGAGTTTATAAGGATTAATTAAAATTATATATGTATTATTTATAACATTATATACGTATTATTATTAGATTGCCTGGCACATAGTAAGGGCGTAAGACATGTCAGCTGTCACAGTATTATGATAATGACAATGCACATGATCATTTCGCTCTGTGCTCTCTGAGGTTGTACTCACAAAGTCTCTTTGTGTTGCTGCTGTGATGCAAGACGCCACTTCAAAGCCATATACTATAAACATCAGAATGAAATACTGGAAGGGAAACACAGGAGAAAAAAAAGAATTACATTTACTCCCAAAGAGAGACTTCCCCAAATGATTGTTATGATTTTTTGGCACATTCATCTAAATGTAATCATCCCGTCATTCACGTAGTTATTCAGCAAACCCTCATTGATCAGCGCTTTGGAGTGGGGCTTGGTGCTCGTCAGCTCGGTTCTCTCCTTCCCCCCAGAGAACAACAGCCATTGCATACAGAGCTTTCTCAGTCCAGTACCCTGAATTTCTATTTCAACTAGGGAAAGCAAGTACAGGAGAATGAAATGATGTGTGTGTGCTCAGCGGCTGGCAAGAGAGTCTTAGTGCATCACACACAGTGTGGAGCCTCATAAATCCAATTGGGAGAAGATTTCATTATGGTTTGTTGAAATTTGGAATCACAGAGGTCAGAAAAAGATGAAGTGGTTCATGTTTAACCTCCCCTGTCCCTCCAGAGACTGGATGACACACATCCAGTCTCATCAGAGAGGAGCAGGTAGCCTCCGGGCACGCTGCAGTCTGCGGGCGTTGTTCTCCTCTCCCTGACCCGCTCCAGCAGCTCAGGTGAGTGAAATGGAGCTCGCTGTGTGTAGCAGTGGTGCGTGTGTGTGTGTGTACGCACGCGTGTGTGCATGTGCGTGTGATGCCGCCACAGGACACTGCCCCTATTTCTGGCTGGATAATATCTAAACAGCAAATGGCCTCTGAATCCGGGATCGGGACTGTTTGCAAGAGTTCTGTCTTTGCCTTCCTCAGCCTTGCGTATACACTTTCTGTCCTCGTGTCCTTCGCGGTCAGTGCCAGTGAGGGAGGCCAGGAAACACTGTCCTCCCTCCTTGGGCCTGGAAGGCTCTTGGCAGGACCCTCTGCTGCTCTCACTGCCCAGCCCAGAAGAAAGCTGTGGCTGGAGAGTTAACAGCAAAAGCAGCAGCACTAACTGGGGCCCCGTAACACTTTCCTGCATTAGCTGCTGTCTTGCTCCTTGCCAAGAGCTCCACTGGCTCCTCTTACAGAGGCTCAAACCCCTTAAGGACTCTCCAGAAAGGAGGCACGGGGTAAGATGTTTTCTCCTTCAGCCCTCAGACGGGCACTGCTCTTTCTGTCTCCCTCGCAGCTCAGTTCTCCTGGCTGTCAGTTACGCACAGAGCTGGCCCCAGTCGGAGCTGGGATGCAAGTGAAGGTGGCCTGTACTTTCCCTTTTCTCTACATTTTTTTGCCACCTTCCAAAAGTGGTTACTTTTGCCCTGGAACTAACTCACACTAAGAAACCAGAGGATGTAAATGTTCTGCATTCCCTGGGTACCAGGACAACAGTTAGCTCAAGGCAAAAGTAAACCAATAAGCACTTTAAGTTGCTAGACCAGTTCTACTAAAGGTGGAACTTAGGTCCTGCAGCATTTGGGCATGATTATGTCAGGGTTTGAGAGTGTGGGGATATCTCATCTCAGGGTGATAAACTGCAGCCTGGAGCATGGGGGCAGGGAATGAGGGTCTAGACTCAACACTGAGGTTTCCCAGCTCTGCTGACTGTCGATTTGCTTCCTCTGCAAAGGCGGGGTAAGATCTTACAGTTTGTGGTTGGGGGTAGAAGCCTCTTTGTGGGGACACAGAATTAAGTTAGAGCCTCCATAGGCAGGTAAGAGCTGAAGGTTTACACTGCAGTGGTGCTTACTAAGGTTTTCCAGGAGCTGTGGAACTACTGCGTATGTGTAATTGGTAATGGTGCTTTTGCCAACTCATGAGGATGAAAGTAGAGGCAATATAGACACATTTAAAAATTATGTGTGATCATAAGACTTAAGATAATTAAAAACAAAATCACAGATCAGAAAAATAAATTTAAAAAATAAAAATGTTTCTAATGCCTATTAAAAAAAAAGGTTTTCCAGAGTTCCTGAAAAGCAGAGTGACTGATACTGTGGGACATGCAGACCATGATACAAAATCATCAGCCTTGAGCTCAAAATCTTTGAAAGCCTTATGCTTTCTTATAAAAACTCATTCATATTTTGTATTTCTATATCCTAATATACTAATGCCTGATATTAAGATGTTTTAAACATCTTATTGCCAGGAAAAAAAAACAAAAACATCTACTAAACAAATTCTTACTCTGCCTTTCCTTTGGCCTATGGAGCTTCCAGCCGTATCTGTTGGGCACCTGCAGATGCCAGGTAGAGAAGCATAGATCTGGAAAATATTCGGTATGGTCACTCTCAGGTGTCTCCCCTCTGGTTTCTCTGTACTGGAACCTTCTGGACTTGCGATAGTGGAGGGCATCCTCACCCCACGTGGACAATCTTTATGGCAGGGAAGATTCTCACCCCTCACCTGGCACTCCTTGCTTCCCCTCACCCCCCAATGAAAGCCACAGCCTTGTGCTTGGTGAAGAAGAAACAACGGTCCAGCAGAATTGGTCTAGGGAGACAGTGCTAGGGAGCTGTAAGTTCTTACCGCCAGAAGGATTTTCCTGCTGGACTTCATGATGCCTACAATGCCCAGAACGGACAGACAGAAGAGGCAGATGCCAACAAACATGCCAATCCAGGCTGCCCCATAGATGTCATCGTTGTCGGTGGCTTCTAGCAGTGGGTAGAGGCTGCTTTGGTCGGATACAAAGAAGATGCACTCTGCCGTCAGGGCGATGCCGCACATCTGGGGACAAGCCAAGGGGGCTCTGTCAGGCTGGCGGCCAGGAGCGCAGCTTTGGGAAAGGGGGTAGAGGGTGGGGTGGGTAAGAGACACCAGCTGGTGGGAAAGGGGGTGGAGGGTGGGGTGGGTAAGAGACACCAATTCCCTCCCCTGCATAGGCTTTATGAAACTGACTTAAACTCCCATTGCCAGGAAATCAAACAGCGACTTCCATCCTGCTAATTGGTTGCATACCTTCTTCCATGTGTCACTGTGTCTATTTAGGAAAAGACCCAGACAATTTCAGACTATCCATAATGGCCCTGGGGCATGAACCACTCGAGACGATGCCTTCTTATATAAACACAATCCCCTACCCCCACGGCCTCACAGCCAAATTCCTGAGTTGTAATATTTGAACTAGTCCTGGTCATATTTATTGGTTAGAGCTAGAAGGAACCTTGGTGGTTATCCTTCCCAATGTCTGTATTTTATAGATGAGGAATCTTGGCCCTGAAAGGTGATGGCTTGTCCAGAGCCGCATGGGAGTTAGAGGCAGAGCTGGACCAAGAGCCAGCTCTCTTGAGTCCTAGACAAGTGCTCTCTCACCCCACCACACCCACACAGCTTGGCGTCTGAGCCATTTTCACTGGCCTCTGCATGAGGAGAACAAGAAGATGCAAACATTTGCCCCCAATAACCTTAACCAAAGTCCCATGGAAATTAAGCCAAGATGAAATATAAACCACCAAAGTGTGTGTATGGTTGGAGTGTTTGGACACTGACCGTGGCTGATGTGACTCTTTTTAGATGACTGAGACAAGGTCTCGCTCTGTTGCCAGGGCTACAGTGCACTGGTGTCATCATAGCTCACTGCAACCTCAAACTCCTGGGCTCAAGTGATCCCCCACTCAGCCTCCCAAGTAGCTGGGAGTACAGGGACACCTCACAATCCCTGGCTAATTTTTCTATTTTTAGTAAAGACGAGGTCTCACTCTTGCACAGGCTGGTCTCAAACTCCTGAGCTCAAGCGATCCTCCCGCCTTGGCCTCCCAGAGTGTTAGGATTACAGGCATGAGCCACCGTGCCAGGCTAGATTCTTACATTTTAAAGTTGGGAGGGCAATGTCTATTTTTTAAACTGTGATCTTTTGACATATTACATAGCTAAATATAATTGCTTACATCGTTAAATTCTAGCTAGCATATTTACTAACACATTTCTTAAAATGAAAAAAGGTATAGGAAGCTAATAATTATAGCATTATTGTCCTTCAACTCTCTTTTCACTAATCTAGAATGATGATTATAAGGAGAGCAGAATTTCCTGAGAAATACTCATTACTTACACCAATAATCACATTTCCAAAAATCAGCAGGCCCTGGAAGCAACGAACAGTGGAGTCATCTTTGGCCATCTTCAGGATTTTCCACAAGCTGAAGTCACAGTTGAGAACATTATAATGTAACAGGAGCAGGTGACAAATGCTGCTACAGTTTCCATACCATGACTAAATCATGCCATTGTATACATTGCCTTCCTGTCTCCCAAAGCATCCAAACCAAAGACATACAATCATTTAGCAATGGAGAAAATTTGATTATTGAGCTTAGTAAATCATGGAAATTTTATAAAGAAGAAAAAAAACAAAGCCTTTCACAGTCTGATCAGTGCCTCTGAGGGTTTCTTGCAGGGACGGGGTACAGAATGCATACTTCTGATTGGTGGACGGAGCCCTGCAAGGGCAAGGAACGTGTAAGGAGCAGATCTGAAGTGGTGATGGTGGCAGGGTGAAGCACAGGGATGTGACGGGCCCTGGTGCAGCCCTCACTGCCCTTGACCAGGGCAAACTGAAACCCAAGGTGGTAAACACAGGGCCAGTGTTAGTGGTCAGTTCCCATATGCACTGTAGGCTGCTGTTAAAAACTATTAGTTTCTGAATATTTTGTTATCCTAAAAAAAAATTGTTGGCAAACAGAAAAAAGTTTGCCTGTCACATAAGAGGGGAAGTGGAGAGAAAAGAAGGACTAGCAGTTACCTCCTTCTATGTGCCACTCTACCAGGGGCTTTGGGTGCACACATCTGATTCTCATAACCCAATTAGGCAGAAAAAGAAAAGAGGTAAGGAGGCTTCATTTTGCAGATCAGGAAACTAAAGCTAAATTGGTAATTAAGTTCCCTGGGGTCTCACAACCAGGGAGTGCTGGTTGTGGCACTCCTAGTGGCAGAGCTAGGCTGGAGACCTTGGTCTGCCCGACTCCAGAGCCCAAGCACTTCCCTGCAGTTTTGCACTGACTCCCAGAAACTGTTTACAGGCTTGGTGCCACACACAGCTGAATCCCTCCCACATCTCTGAGCATTTTCTAGAAGGAACACAAGAGCAAGAGTTTGGGTCAATCACTTGGGCTTCTGCACTTGAAACACTTTGACGAAAAACATCCACATTTAATTGATTAATTGAATTAATTAATTAACCAATTCATGCTCAAAACCAAAATGTATCAAATGATACAATTTTTGCTTAGAGAGCATACAAAGATGCATAAGGAAGATTGTTGTGGTCTAGGATTTTATGCCTTAGTAAGGAAGCTAAGATACATTCCCAAATAGTTAGAATACGGATAGCAAGACCCTAAATACGGTGGGCGTTCCGAGGAGGGAAGATGTAAGCAGGATGTGTGTGGTTTTGAGAAACAGAGTAGAGGTGGGAATGTGTGGAGTAAGGTGGGGGCAGGCAACATTCCTGGTAAAGAGAAGGGAAAGTTAGGGAGTGGAGACAGAAGAGCAAGGTGCCCAAGAGATAGCAAACCAGCCAGTTTGGCTGAAGTCCTCGTTTTTTGTGCAGGGAATCGGTGGGAGGTGAGCTTTCTATTTGACTCAGGCTTTGCTGAATTTTAACTTCATTGTTACACGGTAAGTATCAACCACCTTTCAAGTAATCTTATACATCTCTAAATATTTTCTCTTACCTGTTTACCCAAGTGGTTGTGGCAATTTGAATTAATATAAAACTCAGGAGCATTTTTGGGCTCAGAATTTGGCATACAGTGGGCACTTCATCAATGTTTGCTGAAGTAACGAAAGAAGAATCTGGGACATTGTTACAAGATCCCGGTGTGTAGTAGTTTCTGCTGAGAAATACCATTCATTTCTTTCTGCCTAGAAATGTCATCCATTCTTTCCAGCAACTGGGGCTCTTTAGACTGAGCAGAGCCTTAGTGCCTTGCAGGAGTTAATGCACAGACCCCACCCCCTGCCCCCCAGGGAGAGCCTTACTCAAGGCGCTGGTTGAGTCACATTGTGAAGTTCATTGCTGGTATGTACAGATGTTATCCCTGACCAGTTGGGTTACTATCCAGACTAGAGACGCAAATAAATAGACTGTGAAAGGTAGACGTTCAGATAACAGAATACGTGTAGGGAGTAAAGGGCAACTATCCGGAGAGGCCAAATTCAGCATCCTTTTCCACCGGTACTGATTACACAGCCCTGTGTCAGGGAGCAGTCTATTAGTGGTGAATGGTCAGGCTTAAAGAACAGGAGGAAGATAATTTCTTTCTTCAAGGAGTTTAAAGTGTGACTACAGCAACATGGACTCGAAGCAAAAATGACCATACCCAGTAGAAAAAGGGGACAAGTAGGGCCGTGGAAACAAAGGAAGGATTTAGGTATAGGCCACCAGCAACAGGGCCTTTCCTGGTCCAGAAAGGGGCTGAAGGGACCCCGAGGGAGGATGGTGACCTGAGTGACCCAGTGATGCCTGACACATACAGACCTTTCCAAATATGATTCTGCCCCCATGGGGTTTAGACAAGGGGAGAGGGCAAATGAATTCTCTGTGGGAGAATGGCAGGAGCCAGAATCAGGGTAGAAAATGCAGATGAGAGTGGGAGGAAAAAAGGAAGGTAGGCAGATAGAAGCCTGCTTTGAGCAAAAAGAAAAGCATAAATTGAAGACACCTAGACAGGAACATGGTAGGAAATGCCAGGAAGGTGGCCCGGCTGTGGGTTCAGGAAGGCAGGGATATACTGATGGGAAAGATATTCTGAATTTGCTGGCTGTTACATTTTTCCCCTTTTTTATTGTGTTCTCTTCTTCTCCCTGAGGCCTTTAGTATCAATGGCACATAATAACTTAGAAAGTCACTTCTGTCTTCTGAAATAACAAAATAGTGACGAAAGCTGCCATTTAAAGGGCACCTAGCATGCTGTCAGTGATACGTTAGTCACTTTACATGCATTTCTCAATACCTAAGAGATGGGTATTTTTATCAAAATTTGTATTTGTTTTCTATTGCTGCTATAACACATCACCACAAACTTGGTGACTTAAAACAACAGAAAGGTATCATCTTATAGTTCTAGAGAGCAGAAGTCTGAAACGAGTCTCACTGGGCTGCAGTCACAGGGTCAGCAGGGCTATGCTTCTTCTTAAGGATATAAGGGGAGAATTTTTCTTGCCATTATTTGCAGATGAAGAAAAGGAGGCTTGCAGAGATTAATTTGCCCATGGCCACGTTGCTAGAAAGTGCAGAAGCTGAGATCCAAGCCCAGGTCTGCCCGGCTCCAGATCATTTGCTAAACACTCTAGTTTATAAAGTCCTGCCACATAGCTAATGCTTTCAGTAGAAATGGAAATCTGGAGCAGAGAGAACAGACACATTTTCCCTGCTCAGGGGACACAGGGGTGGGGAACCTGCATTCTCAGGGCCATATGTGGCCCTCCAGATCCCTAAGGGCCACCCCTCAACCGAATCCAAACTTCGCAGAACAAATCCCTTTATTAGATTCCTTTATTAAAAGGATTTGTTCTGTAAAATCAGCTGCACTCAAGGGTCCAGAAGACCACATGTGGTCTCAAGGGCATAGGTTTCCCCACCCCTACCCAAGGCCTTTCTTCACTTCACTCACTTTTCCAGCTTCTTGTCTCCTTAGTCCCTCAACACGGCACACGTATTTGCACTGCACCCACATGCTTTTCCAGAAAACCTATTTAGATGTATCACAAACCTGCAGCTCCCCCACCCACCCTGCCCCAGACCAGAATTCTTGGCAGTTAATGGGGCAGTGTGCAAGTCAATGAGAAAGTCAGCATTTCGCAACCTCTCCTTTCCCACTGTATGTTATACTAGGTTGGGGCCAGAGGACCTAAAACATTTGCTACAACCCCCAAACAGCTATAAATGTCAGGAGGGAGCCGACTGTGGGCTTCTAGTGGCTCATAGTGCAGTCTAGTGGCTGTGGTCTAATGGTGAGCACATTGGACTTGGCATCAGAATGCCAGAGTTCAAGTCCCAGCCTCGTGCTGTCATTACCATGTAGCCTTGGGCAATGTCCCCCTTAGTGTCTACTTCCTCATTTGTAAAATGGGTAGAACACAGCTTGTTTGATGGGGTTGCTGTGCTCACTAAATGAGATAAAAAATGGAGAAAGGGTTGGCAAGCACTAAGATTGTTTAAAAACATAGGAAGTTATTAATTACAATCGGGGGACATTTAAGAAGGGCATGGTTTTGGTACTGGGCTATGGTTTTGCTTTATGCACCAGTGACCCCTAGGGCATAGAAAGGAGGTTTTAATCCAAGGACTCCTAGGTTGACAGAAGAAGGGGCCTCCCTTCTGCCATCCTTCAGTTCACTGCCCAGGGGCTACTCTGCTGGAGGGGCCAGGAGGCAGCACACAAAGATACTCAATTGTACTTCTTTTTGTTTCTTGTGGATGAATTCATGGGGGAAAAGATCTCATGGGAAAAAGAATGAAAGTTCCTAGTTGTGCTTGGAGTGTGGCCAGAGTCAGGTACCAAGCAGCACGTCCGCATGGGAGGAGCCCTCCATGCATTCCATCAGCATTCCTGAACAGTTAACACCTGCCTGTGGGCCTCATCCCTTGGTCCCTTGGCTTTGGCCACCTCTGAGGCCTCTGATGCAGACTGTGAGGTGATGCAGAGATGACCCCCGAGGTTGTCCTTTGTGCTAGGGACACTTTCCCCCAGAAATACTACTAGAGGACTCTGCTCTGCTCCCCTTTTGCATTTTTTCCTCCTGGTACCAACCTACCACGGGCTTCCTGCACCTTACTGCAAGCATTTCGAAAGCAGGAGAAGGCACGGGGACCCTGTTTTATTTGTCTTTCTAGGTCCATAGTGGCACAGTGCCTGACACATAGTAGGCACTCCATTATTTTGCTAAATAAAAGGATAAAGTGAATAAATAAACATCTATTTGGATGAATGAGTTAACGATTTGCCTAGAGCTTTACCTCAGAACAGGTTAGAGAGTATGGTGAAGTAGAAAGAATAAGAGCTTTGGATAGGCTGGCTTTGAATCTTAGCTCTACCACTTAGTGGTTTTGTGACTCCAGGAAGTTGCTTAATTTTATTGAGTGTTATCTATATGAGTATAGTAATACCTAACTTCAAGGGTTACTATGAAAATTAAA